CGTCCCTCGGTCGATCCGCGCTGGATCGCCCGCAGGACGCTTTGCCATAGATCCGTTCAAAAGCACCCCACACCTCTTGAGCCGCGCTGCACTCCACCCACACATGCTCCACCGTCTGCAGTTGCTGATCGAGGGGACACCGCTGGGCCGCTTCATCAAGCCAATGAAGGGCCGGGCCGCATTCCACCACGCCTAGCAGCAGTCGATAGAGCAGGTCATTCATCTTCGGCACCCGTAAGGGTGCCACGTCCTTGTCGTAGACCGATTTCCACAGCTCGGTGGTCCGCACCACCCGACCCAGCTTACGGGCCATAACCGATCGGATCCGGGCCACTCTAGAGTTCAGGGCTCTTGGGTTCTGTTTCGCGTGCGCCATCACCTTGTAGGCGTACTTATAGTACATGTCCGTGACCGGAATCCACTTCCAGACCGGAACGGTGCCCGGCTGCACGTCTTCTCGAAAATCCGTGGCGATTCCGCAGTGCGGGAAGGGGGGCATCGGCGGGTCCCGGGCCCCCGGAGGGACCCATACCCGCTGCACGCCGTCCCCCCGCGCCCTGTCCAGAAGATCCCGCCATTGTGTCGGTAGTCCATTGATCAGTGTCTCAACTGCTCGGCGGCCCTGGGTTCTTTCCGGGGCGCGAAGCCCTAGATTCTCCCGGGGGACGATCCTAGAGACGTCGAGAAGATCGCCGATTACGTTTATGTCACCGTAATCCCCATTTGCTATGCGGCCCCATGTCGGTGACGTCCACAGGGCGGCGCCGCGGTTTCGGTGAGGCCCCTCCTCCAACAGCCTCGGGAAGTACCAGAAATTGGTATCCAGTACCTCGTCAATCGTCGAAGGGTGCCTAAAGTTCAGGGTCGCCTGCGGACGGAAATTTCCGGGATACCCCATTTCCGCCCACCACGGCTCCCAGATATGCCTCAGGCTCGGGGTCTTCACCACGCTTTGTCGGGTCACATTGTAGACCTGTTTCCACGGTGCCTGAGCCTTGGCCAACTGGGTGCCTGTCGATCGGGACCCCCGCAAGAGGGTGATCGCCATCTGCACCCACGGAAGGTTTGGCCGTCGCTCCATCCTCCCTACCCATGCAACCGACCATGCCGTTCGGGCCGCGTCCAGATTATAGGCAGCGAAACCGCCATGATCCTTTCGCAGGCGCGAATGCTCCGTCGATAGTCGGACCCGGGTACCACCCCAGATCAGGACCTGTTGCAATCTTTCGATCCGCCCCTGGTTTCGCCGACTTAAATCGAGGTGCTGTATTGCAAAAACCGGTACCGACACCAGCAAGGTTTTCGCGATTGTTAGTCGAGACCTCTGGGACAGCCTTAGCCGGGACCAGTTCGCCACTCGATCGCCCAAGTCCGCAATCATTTCATCCCAAAATTTCGCCAGGGCATCCCCGATCTCAAACCCTACCGGGATCCCCAGGTGCGTGTATGCTTCACCTCGGCGTAGGAGTTTGACGGCACGGAAGTCCCCCGTCAAGCCGGTTATGTCGAAACCTCCGAGGAGCATCAACACCGTCTTGACCCAATTGACTCTTTGCCCCGAAGCCCGTTGAAACACGCCGATGATCCGGCCCACTTCGATTAGCTCCGAGATGTCTCGAGGGAAGGTTACCGTGTCATCCGCGTACAGACAACACTTCACCACGTCCCCATTCGGTAATTCTATGTCTGCCAGCAAGTCGCTTCGTTGAAAGGACATCGCCAGTGGCTCCATCACCAGATCGAAAAGGATACACGACAGGGCATCGCCCTGGCGCACCCCACTGCTGACCTGGATCGCGCGTCCTCTTCGGCCGTTCACATAGGGCACAATCGTCGCATCATGGTACAAGGCCTTGACCCGCCGAATAAAACTGTCCGGAAGCCCAATGCGCCTCATCGCCGCCCATAAGTACGTCCGACTGACCCGATCGTAGGCCTTTTCCTGATCGAGGAACAGGACCCCCGCCCCGTCCTCGTCGTCCCCAAATTTATCAATGACACCCTGTACCAGCTTAACATTGTCCCCTATGAAACGACTCGGTAGAAACGCCGATTGGTGATCCCCAAGGACCGACTCAAGCAGCGGGACCAAGCGTTGTGTTAGGGTCCACGTATACATCCGATAGTCTGATCCCATAATGGATAGGGGTCTGTAGTTCTTGATCTCGGTCGGATCGTCCTTCTTGTACAGCACCGTCAGAACCCCCTCCAGGAACCACCCCGGCAAGGATTCCTCCGCCTGCACCGCCCGGAAGAACACCACCAAGGCCTTCACCACAGCCGAGTCCTCGCAATCATCCTGATCACTACCCCTGTATGTCATTTGCGCCTTGTACCAATCGTGCGGGATGCCGTCTGCACCAGGGGCCCGACCAAGCTTCCCCTTCAAGATTGCCTTGACGACCGACACGGCGTCAGCCGGGTGGTCCAGCCCTCCCGCATCATTCCGATCTACCTTTTCCGTCATGGCGCTGAAGAGCTCCCGCCGCGCCTCCCTGTCGGAGGGCTTCGGCTGGTAAAGGTCCCCGTAAAAGGCCTCCACGACCGCCACCATCTCACCCGCCTCGGAGGTCACCCGACCGGCGGCATCTTTGAGCTTTGGGATCGCGTGGCCCTTCCCCTTCATCCACTTGACCCGCTGGTAAAAGCTGGTGCTGGGGGTCTCTTCCTCGACGTAGTCTCTCACGAAGGCATTATGGCAGTAGTCGCGGCGGTCATCCTCTTCCATTTCCTTTAGCTCTTCGAGTAATGCCTCCCGCGCTGCCTCCTCCCGGGTGTCTTTCTGGGCCTGTAGTCTCAGGGTATGCTTTCGGGATCGGAGGGCGCCTCGCAGCTTCGCCTCCGACCGTCGTGCCAGGCCCGCTATCTCTTTCTTCAGCTCCAGCCATGCCGCGAGGACTGCGCCCGGGTTTTCGGGAGGACCCCTCAGGGCTTCGGGATCAGCCCCGGAGTGGTCCGCCACGAACTTCAGCAGCAGATCCTCACACTTGTCTTGGAATTCCTTGTTCTCAATGATGGCATGCCCCATTCGATACCGCCCCTTGCCGTATGCTGTGTTTGTCGGGCAGTATCTAAACATCACGGCGCTGTGATCCGTGTGCTGCAACGGGACGATGGCCCAATCCTCGGTGTTCATAAACCAGTCGGCCCTGATATAGATCCGATCGATCCTACTTTCCCCGGCCGAAGCCTGAGTCAGCAGGGCCGTATTTGAATGGGTGTACATCCTCCCCTCCGGCCAGCGTTACCGCCAGCCGTCAAGATATTCCGATTCCACATCCATCAGCTCCGTTAGGACCAAACTGTGCGTCTCACGATCCTCGTCCCCGAACAAGTTCCCCGCTTTGCTGTCCTCGCGATAACACACCATATTCCAGTCCCCGCAGAGAATATCACATCGCGGCCGCCCGCTCAAGCGTTCGTGGGCTATATCAGCCAAGGCCTTCCCGAAAGGTATTCTATCCCTCGCCGTTGGGGGCATGTAAACACACCCAACCACCAAGAATTCCCTCGCAGTCTTGATCTCGGTCATCAACACCCGTCCGGTGGCCTCACCCCAATCGAGGGCGCCCAGATCGCCTTCGAATTCTGCCTGTTGTTTGTCAATAATTATCATTACCCCTGCGTTGCTTTGTGGATCTATTGCGGTTAGCATATCCACGCGGGGGAAATCGTCCATTAGTTCTTCGGCCCTGCTATTGTCTACGTGAGTTTCCTATAGAGTTAGTTGCGTCCGAAGGGAGACGATTAACATGTTTCTGCAGTAAGTAAGCCTACTAGATATGGTAGCCGGGTGGCATTTCTATATCTTGGATATCGAAAAGATTCGCTATATGGTCGGAAGACGGTATTATCTTATCTCAGTACTGAGAGACTAAGTGTTCAAACGTGTGAGCAAGGTTGTTCAGTCTGCACTCTTGATATCTGCCGATAGACTCTATGGGATTTTATAAGCGCGCCAGCGGTCAGAAATAAGTTGTGGTTACAGAGGGGCGCATTTTAAAGGTGAGAAAGAAGTGAAGTCAAATGAGATTAGCAAAGACACATAGATAGACAAATAATGTTTCTTACGAGAAGGTGGGTTTTATGTATTGAAAATGGCACAATATTAATAGACATAACCAATAGACTGAGCTAGCTGCCTACGTTACCACTTATCGTTTAGATGGCGGGCCGTGCAATTGTGCACGAATTGTGCGTGCAATGTACAGACTGTAGAGGGGAAAAGAGGATCAGATTGAACTGTGAAGGATTCTCATGTTGAACCCCATAAGGAGGGGCTGAAAGGCATGTGTTGATGAGGCTGGCTCACTCAGATGTTCCCAATGAATCACAAAGCTGAGACACATGGGTAGATCGTAGAAAACGGAATTGCGCCGCTTAGTTGCCGCAAGTGGCATGAGTGCGCTTCAGCAGGGCGAGCCCAGCCGAAAGGGAAGCCGTATATTACGGCGGCTGTATGGATTCATGCGTTGATCCTGAAGGAACACATCTTGGGGAAGTGGGGATCACATCTCACTCTACTTTCGTGTTTGATACGTGGATGTCTTACAACCCGACGAATACGAACCATGTATCAACGATAGTCGGTCTGCAGTCGTACTGCAAGATGCTCGCAGTAATGCTGAAGGTCGAGCAGCCCTCAGTAGCGTGCTTCAACAGAACCTGGAAGCTTGTCGTGAGAGTCTTCTTTGGTCTGGAATGGGCATCGGTACGCATGAAGGTAATACATGGTGGTAAGGTCATTTGCCAGAAATTGGACTCTCTGGCAAAAGCACTCTGCTTGTAAACCAAAAGCAACACTCCATAGCGCGATGGAATGTACTATTTCGCATATGGAAGGATACTCGAATATCGTGGAATTCTATTCCAATTACGTTGAGGACTGCTCTGCTGGATACATTGTGTCCGAAAAGAAGAAATTTCTGAAGCCAAATTCATCTCATAAGACACGTAATATATATTTGTTCGATCATCAACTTTACATAATGAGTAGATGCTCAAGGAGAAGGTAAACGCCCAATCGCACGCGCCGCATCATCTCTGCCGAACCACTCTTCCCCAACAAGCTGATAACGACAGGAGTACACACGCCGGTAGGCATTGCGGACAATCGACTCGCTTGTACCGACCACTTCCGCAACCCGTCGGGCAGTGACAGGGCTACCGAGCATATGAGAAGCCATGAAAAGACCGATCGCTGTCATCCACCTTGGATGAAGATGAGACATGAAGCCCAAGTCGTGAAGATGGTCAGCAATACTGTAACTGAAGTCGACGAATCTGTCGTCCAATCTAAGCTCGTCGGAACCTTCTTCGCAACCTACCCTGAGCAATTCCGATACATGGTCGTACTCTATCTCCTCATCGGTCATGGATGGAGCAGGCCAATTCAAGGGATCTACCTCATCGAAGGCGTTGTCCAATAAGGAAAGGAAATCGGCATCGACGATTTGTTCCCGCTCAGGGTAGATGAGATCGTAGGTGTAGCGGATGTGATGGGCATCAACGCGTGTCACAGCAGCTACTTCTCTTGCAGATCTCGGCTCGCCTGCAAGAAAAGAGGCGATGTAGATACTCACTGCAACGATGCACCATTCGGTGTGATCTTCATTCCATCTCTCCATCTCCACCAGCTTCTGGATTATCAATCCCGAGACCACGGTGATTTGCATGTCAAGTCCGAGCTGAGCACAGAAATTGTGATTGAGTTCTCTAACACTCGGCCGATCGCCTTCATCCTCGATCTCCCCATTCTCGTGACCGTCCAGGATGCCATGCTCGAGGTAGGGTCGTGGTTGTGCTGGGAAAAATTCCCGCCGGCAAATTGGGCATGAATTGTGTTCTTTGAGCCAGGTAGCAATGCATGCTGAGCCGATAGAATGGTTGCAAGGAAGGCGCATTTCCACCTCGATGGTTCCGGTCTCACGACAGAGGGTGCCGTACCCTTCCATGCATATGGCACAGGTCTCATCCTTATTCTGTACGCTGTTTTGCATTTGGAGAAGATCGTAGAGGAATGCTTCGGCCATTGTGAAAGCCGGATCTTGGTAGTTGAGCTTCTGCTTTGTGAATGCTATGTTCTGGTCGAGTCTGAGAGTATGGCAACTGTGAGGATCGAGAGCGATGTTCTGTGAATTCAGAACCCTGAACGAGGGAGAGATGGAGGGATAAGATGGCACTCGACTCTCCATGGAAAAAGCCTTTGTTTGATCTTGCGTTTTGTTATGCAAGGCTTTGTTAATTTGTTTGTGACTGACGTTTGTATCAAAGAATGGCTTTGTCACTCTTCGTCGGAAAAGCTTCGAACACTGCTCTTTGTCAAGCGCGGCGCAACAAAGGAATGTTAGCCAAACAACAGATGGCATCTTTGTTCATGAGAAAAGGCATCTCATATGTTTTTGTTTTTGCTCCTAGATCATTTTTCCAACTATCTCCTCTCAACAGTACAACTTTTTCATATCCATTCCAATTCAAGATACAACTCAAACCAGAAGAGCAACAACAAAATGTGTCGCGGAAACCTTCAGTATTTTGGAGACTGTGGCCACGAGAAGAAGTTTCACCCTACCAAACTCTGCCCTTACTACTCTCCAAATCAAGACAAATGTCTCGGCACTCTCACAATCTGCCATCAAACAGTCATACACTCACCGGCCATTTGTGTATCGTGTGCCGTCCGCATCGAAACAGGCATGATCCTGGAGTGCGATCGTGCCACTCGAAAATTCGAAAAGAAAATCGAGACACTGAATCGTGCCTTGAGCAAAGACAAAGATACGTTGGTCCATCGTGCGATGATATCTGAGCGTGCAAAATTGATGAAGGCTCTGACTGAATTTACAGAGAGAAAGAACGAGGAGCTGGCGGTTTTCCAGAAGGAGCAGGGAAGAAATGCTCCCGGCCGGGCCGAAGATCTTCCTCATGATTGGTGGAACGACGAGGAGGAGGATTCAGTTCAGCCATCGAGATCCCGTCATGGTTGGTGCGATGATGACGATGAGGACACATCTCGGTTGGTGGCACCTTTCGATGATCGATGGAACGATGACCTTCTCCAGGCCAGGAAAATCCCTTGTGAATAATGCACTGGTGAGGATGAGAACTGACATCATTTTCGATATCGTATGGGCTTGGGGACAATGACCTGTGTGAAAGTAGGCGTTTAAGATAGGGATTGGGAACCCCCTGCTATTGCTGCTCGAGTTAGTATATCCATTTTGATTTCATATTGTCATATTGAAGGTCAACCACTAGGTGCATTTGTAAATAGGCAAGAAAGTTGTAGCGCACTTCTCACGCGACAACGGTGGCTAGGCTGATGACCTCGACGCTGCATTGCATTGAATTCGTTAGGAGCTACCTGTTCATCTTGAACAGGATATTCGGAATATGTTCTTCATCTTCGGTTACCTAGGCTTACCTAAAGCCCACGCTTCAGCGGCCTATTCTCTTCAACATTCTGATGCGTGGGCAGTCTTATTTCCAGAGGCACGCCCGAATCTCCAGGTTGCTTGCTTTCCCATGGAGATGACTCCTGTAACAAGACTCCGTCTGCGACGCGCGCATTGCTGGGCCATATCCGTTCTTTGCTGATGCCCGCACTTGCGCTGGCTAGCCTTCGGATTTGTAGTATTCTTTGAAAGTAGAGATAGAGAGGGCGGAATGTAAGGGCATTCGCGCATAGGATGCCGACGTTGACTTCCGGTCTGTTGCCTCAGCTGGCTCAGCTTGAGATTCGCTGAGAAGTGAGGCTGATCTTAGCAATTTACAGCCTCCATGCGACATTTGCAGATATTGCCCCTACGATGTTGAGCAGGTTTGCTAAATCCACAACTGCCATCGTCAAATATAGTGAACTCACTTGTTAGATCCGGGTCAGTGATGGCAGGAGAGAGAGCCGTGCGCATAGTACAGCATATGGCCGCACTGCAGGTCCCTTTAGTCAATAGCCGGTACTGATTTCTTCTAGCCCCATCAGTACGCATAGACCTATTCTAGTCTTCAGGCTGATCTGAAGGTTTTGGAGGAAGAATGCTGGCAGCGCTGTGCAGATCAGATCTCTGATTATCGACAGGACTGTTTGGCTATACTGTCAACTCTGTACGTTGTCCGCTCTAGGAAGCGACCTTAATCCTTTGCGCAATGATGATAGATGTAGCCTGGCGATTCGAAAGGCAGGAGCCATTAATGCCCACAGCCCAGTATGTCTTCAACGGCCTGCAGATTCATAGAAATAGGAACACGAATATTGCTCTTAAAGAATCATGAATCGAATTAGTCTGTACATCATCATCGTTACCTAGCTCGAGTCGACGATACGTAAGAGAAACAAGCCTATCGAGATATTGGTGAGCGTGAGTGTGATGAAGACTTGCACCCAATCGGCCCAGCCAAGGGCCTGGAACTTCCTCTACGGCGCAGACTCAAGATAGGAATCGTGTCTCCCCAGACCATCGAAGGCTTTTAAGGTAATGAAAGAGGCCCATAATGGTCGTAACTTAGACGAGGAATTCGATCAGGGTGCGCGCCAACCTTGGTGCTCACCGGACATATATTTACGTCTGCCATAATCCCATCATCCCGGCCAAGAATTTGTGTGAAACGTGCGCGAATCCATGGCACGTCTCCGCTGTGCCGTAAAACGTGTGCGACTTGGGGTGCTTCCGCAGATCTGTGAGTTCCGCGCTTCTACTCGCAATCAAAACACTTAGAACAAGCGTGGCTTGCAGAGCATAATGATAATGTGACCCATTTCACCAAAGATTTTCGTCTTTGTCAAATCACATTCAAGGGAAGACATGTGTTTGGCTGTTTCACAGTCATGTAGGAATGATTATGTGCTTCAGCAGATAGGTCGCCTCATATTCCTGAGACTTCGATATAGTCAGCACCTGTCCTGCGCTGAGAGGAATATCTTCAGCTCCCGCTTGAAAATACTTTTGACTTCTTCTCTTCCCTCTGATTTCCCTCCCTCTGCATAAAATCTTTTCATGAGCCCGTCAATCTTTCCCATCATCGCCTCTGTGCTTCGATTCATTCTCGCATGACGGGACCTTGTACAGGTACAAAGAATGGGTGCTAAGTATTGAGGGCGTGGCGTCGAGCTCCCAGCGAGGTAGACTTCGCCACGATGATCTTGAACTTAGATCACTTGTCTTCATCCATGACGTCTACTGATGCTTAGCTCAGAGACAGATAGGGGCTCGTGTCCGATTAGTGCGCCGCATCACTCGGTGAATAGGACGTCTTGAGCATGGTGCTGGTATGAAAGCTGGATATCGTTGGCTTGCTTGACGGGACATGAGATTCAAAGAACGATCATGAAGACAAGTGCTTCGATGAATGTCTGCACGGCAAATATGCAGAATGCAAAGGAAACACTCCTGTGACAATTGCAGGCAAATTTCAGAAAAACGTGTTCGTGAGAGATACGGCTCCTGGATGCCGTTTGTACGATCGCAATTTGCATCACACGCACACAACATGGTCATACCTCGCCATCAGAGTTTCTGCATAGTACCATCTGCTGTAATATGACCACGAGAGCATTGTTCGAAGCGCATACTTTCGAGTCATCGACGACTGCAACACCAAAGCCAAAAGGAGCAGAGCAATCAGCCGACTATGAAGTCATTATATAATCCTTAAAAAAAATTATTAGCAGAATACGAAGTAAAACAAAGTGAATGCTAAGCCTTCATGCACTCTATGAGCGAAGTCCCCCTAGTCGCTAGGATAATGGGATGGAGTGCAATGCGTCATTCATCTGAGGCTTTTTCGAGCACAAATCTGCCTTCCGATCTGTGCGGCAATGTGACATGATCTTATGCGCATAGCAACTTTAGAATGACAAGGAATGCGACACCATGAGTTCCAGGCCTGAAGGAATGACTTCATACCTGTGCCACGGTTCCTCCACCAACTCTAGAAAATTAAGAACGTGCGAGATAGTCTCGAAACGTATCGATGTTGGCAAGATACATTTTCTCAATAACACGTGAGATCGGCAAATGATGAATCTGAAAGTAACGAGCACTAGAATGATTATCTTGTGGTAGCATATATGCAGCGAAGAACTATCACGGTCTAGGGCAAAAGAGAATTCTTCATGACATAGATAAAGGACCTCCTCTCAACGTCAACACTAACAGCAGACCAAAGATCCTGTTGCCTCTGTCGAGCTCTTCGCCGGAATGCCTTGAATAAAATACTAAGAAGGGCTCGAAACAGCGTACCCCGACCCTGGCGCGGAATCGGCAGCACCAGCCGTTCCATTCGAGGACGCAGGAAAGCAATTGGGGTCATTTGCCGTGCCGTTGATATGCGGCCCCGTCCAATTCACCATTTCACACGAGTCGTATACGCCGCAATAATCGACGCAACTCGCCAGGGTGTCGGTAACTGTGCTGGAGAGAGCCGCACTGCCGGGAATGGCGAGCGTGTTGTCGCAACCGATGGTCCAAGCGTTGCCGTAATCGTCGTAGTATGCTTGATTGTCGTAAGACACGCCTTGGGTGTTGTTTGTCGTGCAGAGATTCTGATCCTCGAGAGTGCCAGGGGAAGGACCGTTGACGTTGACACCGCTGTACAATCCGTCAACGGTAGATGCCGCGTAACCGCCAAAGCTCCATTTTGGATAGCAATTGCTGGAATTACTTGGGATGGAGGGCGGATCTTGGTAGGTGACAGCAACACAGTCCGTTAGTAGGGAGCAATATTCGAGGCAATCCTCGAAGCTCTCGGCGTGTGCGTCGGAGTCGGCAGGCGAGGATTGTAGGTCCAAGTTGCACCTAATGTCGTACGTGTATCCGAAATAATCACTGTATTTGGTGTTGTTACCGACATAGTTGGCCGAGCTAACACATGATGGAGTCGCAGACTCAAGAGTTTGCTCGGCAGTGCTGGATCCTACGGTTGCAGTGGCACCACCGTTGGCTGTTGCGGTGGCCCCGCCATCAACCCCGTAGACTGATGGATCCATGCCACTTGTGTTGCCCCCATGGGCTGTCGTTTCGGTGGCACCACTGTTGCCGCCGATGGTTGTTGCGACAGTACTACTATTACCGCCGTTGGTTGCTGTTGCGTTAACACCGCTGTTACCTCCGTTCGCTGCTGTTGCGGTGTTAGTAATATTGGCCGTCGCAGAGCCAGGTGTGATAGTAGCCGCGGTTATGGCGGTGTTGGAAAAGGTATAATTCGAGAAATAAGAGCTGTCAGTGGTGCTGTAGACATATGTGGAAGTTGACTCGACCGCAGCGGAGGAGGTGGTGGAGCCAATGACGACCGATTCATCCGAGCCGGTGGATGAGTCCGCGACGACTGAGGCAGAAGAGATGGGTGAGTAAGAGGTGGATGAAGTTCCGATGGTGGAGCTAGCCGATTCAATCGTACTGTAGGGGACTGCTGACAAGCTAGCGACATTCGGCGTAACGTGGTAGACGAGTGCGTAACCGCCAGGGGCGCCGCAACATTCGCTACTATTGCCCGCACAAGGGATGCAGTCGCCGCTGGTGACCTCTCTCTTGTTTTTAGATGGGGGAACAGAAGATGGTGAGCCGTTGGGTGCAGATGAGCCACAATTGCATTCATCTCCTAGCAGTTGTCAGATCCAAAACGTTCGCCGATACGACTCTCACGTATATACCGTTCTCGAGCGCCATGTAGGGATATCCTTGACAAGTGGTATCACAGAGCTCCGTTGTCATCTTAGGGCTGGTGGAGACGGGACCACCCAAGAGATCTCCGTCTGCTGGAGCAGGGTAGTAACCAAGAGCATCAAAATGTCCAGTAGTATTATGTCCAGTAGTGTTGTTGCTAGGCATGATTGGGGCACTGGAAATAAAGTCAGCATGCTTCTTTTCAAATTTATGTTGTCCTAGGGAGAAGTGGTCCTACCCGCTGTTGGTAGCAGAGCCAGTACCGTTGCCAGACCCAATTGAGGCCCCAGATCCCGATCCGAATCCAGAACCACCTGCTCCAGAGCCAGAAGTGTTGCCGGCCCCAGCGGCACTACCACCAAACGCTCCAATGCCTGTACAGAAAGGATCGGTATTGATGGATACGGTGACAGTAGTCACGTATTGAGCAAGTGTCAGCGTTGTATCATTGCTTAGAAGAGCCAACAGCGCAAGGGCAAGCCCATCTCGGGACTTCATGTTGGATGAAGGAGTGAAAGCCCAAGAGTTGAGGAGGATTGATTAGCAGCGATTATTGTCTTTACGAAGTAGTTTGTAGAAGTATTACTCAGATGGAAAGTAGAGACAATAACAAAAAGTGTGCTGAATGGAAGAAATTATGAGCGTGCTAAGTTCGCAGGCTTATAGCACTGACAATCCTTCCAGAGAAATGAGAATGGTCCTTGGAATGATACACATCGCGTTGTCTCCTCGCTAGCCTGCATTCCTCGGGGGCAGAAGAATGTTCAAAACCTTAAATTACCAACCACGCTTCGATATTAGATGCTTTCCTTTTGCAGAATAACTTCGCCTATATCTTCACTTCAGACGGTTGTGATCGAACCAAAGGAATGGATTTGCTGGCGTACGACGCAACGAAAACAACAGAAAGGAAGCGAGATCAAACGGAAGACCTTGTATGAAGTACGTGATACATTGTCAAAGTGAAACGAACAAGACATTCTGCATTTCAGATAGCTGCTCCGACGCATCCCTCCTTGATTACGAGAATAGCTTGCAGTCTTCAGCCTCTAACCTAGTTCGAAATGAGCTATAGTGGCGCTAAACATAGCCACTCAAGATGTGCTTTGGGCCATTACGCCAACAATCGTAACATACAGTTGTTTCTTCGGGCCCACGGCCTCAATTCCACCCAGATTAAAAACTGCGCCAGCCGTACACTGAATCGCTAGAGCAAAAGCCGCCCCCTGAATCTCTAGGAGGGTCATTGTGTCTTCCTGGTCGTCGTAAACCATGTCTAGGTTGACGACACATGTGCCACTGTGGAAGGTCTTTGGAAGCTTGTAGGTTGCATGTCTACCGCGACCGAAGGTATAATGTTCCATGACTGACCCTTTCGTTATCTGCATGGCGGCAGCTGCGCAATCGTGGTAGGTTGTTGGGAGGCGGACCGGGCTGGGATATAAGCAGGGGTTATCATCGAGAAAAGTAGTATTGATGATTGAAAGAGTGGGAGGATTCAATGTGACTGAGTTGAACAATGTCGGTAGATGGGGCTGCAGAGGACTTGCCAAAATGACCGGTGCGAGGTAGAATAACAAGATTTGAGCGCTGAGGACTGCAAGTATTGGCAGCATGATAAGATGGGCAGTATACGTAGGGGTGTAAGTAATGGAGGATTCTGAGCAACTAAAAACGCTTTAGAAGGAAACTGGCCCGGAGGCTATTTGCATCTTGCGCTTGATTGTGCTGTACCTTGTTTCAACACTTGTTGCGGCTTTTTCTTCCACGCGCGCATTGGTTCTTGCGAACAAATGAGGCATCAATCTTTACGACTACGATTACTCAACCTGGGCATCGTCCCGAGACCGGAGCCTCGTCTGCCGCTGTCGGGAAAGCCTAAAATAAGGTGCGGGTTGAAGAGTGTCTGTGCTCAACCAGCGGTGTAGGAAAATGGAGAGAGAGCCAAGGAGGGCAGAGACGACGAGTTGTTGAGAATAGGATCAACGATGATGATGGGGGCTTCGTTTCTCAGAAGCCATAACATCAAAAGCAGATTTGGATGATTTTGACACGTCGCGGCCTCCTGCCTTGGTGTCGAGCCATTTCAGGGCCAGGCAGTCAACCCCACCGGTATTGGAACAACCCCAATCATATGCGACCAGTAGGAACCAGCACATGGTGCTACCGCTGCAACCTTGGAAGTTGCTTCAAGATTCACGACCGGCACTGGATGGGCCAAGCTCCAAATCTGTCCGTCTGGATGGTCCGTGTCGCTGACTTGGATGTCGCCGCTCATTGGTTGATGAGAAGCCGAGCTTTGAGTAAGGCTACTGTTCTTGCTGTCTTGTGTAACAAACAGACAAGGATCGTCGGCTTCGCAGGATTGGAGAGACTTTGGCTTCGATTTGTGGTAGAATCGATGGCTCCCAGAAATGCACCCTTGAAGTCAGCTTACTTAGCTGGACATGATCTTATGCCATGGAAACGTTATTGGCGTATACGCTGCAATGACGGTCGAGTTGCAGCCCCAGAAAGCGTTTCGTAGTGTGGCAGCAAGATCCGGTCCTCCGGACGTCCGAAACACATGGACGAAGTCTTTATAGGGCGCCTGGATCGTGCTTGTATACCGGACAATTAAAGTCGGAGTCGAGGTATCACCCAGGTATAGTAATGTAAGAGATTACTCAGCAGATGTAAGTGAACGTTGGCCTGGTCATTGTCGATGACGGCGTCGCTCGGACGAATGCTGGAAGAATGTTGAGGATCATGACGAAGGAAAGAATGAAGGGAGCATTGACATGATAGAGTGACAAGCTGTCAGGGCGATAGAAATCTGTCTTCCATGAGTCAGAAACCTAAGAGCAATGACTGAGAATGAACAGGAGCGTCAGAAAATGCCTGCTATTTCCCTTTCAGTGGTGTATGGCCTGAGACGAGGGGAAGCTGCTCAGAAAGCAGGGTGGGGGGATAGTAACACATATACAGAAGGTCTGCAACAGGACCTCTCTATTACTGCCACCGTCGTTAATCAGCAACAGTCCTAGGCGCTTAATGTTGGCGCTGGTTGGATGGATTTCCTTCATTCAAGGCTGCGCCATGTCCGTGTCCTTGTGGTAATGATTCCCTTACCGGTGGCAAGAGGCATGTGTTGTCCGCCTTCTCTCTAGGCATCCATAGGTGCAATCCGAGGCCGGCTCTTTGTGAAGCGCTCCGGGGGGGTTAAGGGCGTTGAATGCCTGTTATGATTTGGGTAAAGTGACAGGGAATATGTTTGATATTAGCCATGTTACAGCTGCCCGCCGGGCCCCTGCATCTCAACCATCTTTCCTAACCTCCGGAACCGGCTACTCAATCACCTCCAACTAATGACATGGTCATAAAGATGGAGACCAAGTGGTCCGGCTACGATCGGTATCCGTCGTGGCTAAAAGTAGCATCTGTAGATGGGTCTGGGTGCTGAGCAAGGCTGAAACCACCGCGGCTTCACATGACCAATCAAAGCTATTGCCGAAGGCTAGTAATCAAGAAGTCATTGGACATGAGAAAGTCCACCTTGAATTCTCAAACTTGTATCAGATCTGAAATCGTTTCGAGAGCACAACTTGCGAATTCCAAGTGTCGGAATTCCAAGACCCTTCACCGTTCCATCTTGAATCTCTCCCTGTGGGTTTCATTGGCCAAGTTCTCCAGTCTCATAGACAAAACAAAGACTATTTCATGATGCCCAATGATACGCCCGCCCAGGTGAAGTACAAATCTTCTTCCATTCTGCGGCAGAAGAAGTATCGTCTCGTAGTCATGGTTTTGAATGACATGATACAGCAGCAGACACTCATCTGCTTCATGTTACCATAACACTTCGCGTGCTATCAGGCGAATGACTCATGCTCCACTTCAAGAGCCTTCCCAACATATATAAAAGCAGACTGCGTCCCTTCCAAGGAAACAGTCAGACTTCTTAAAACTCGCATATTCCATTCACAGTCACACACTTTCCCCAGCACATACTATCTACAGCAATCTCCATCCACACCCCACATAATCGCAATACATCTCCAACTCAACTCAACTCGATTCCACTCCATCGACATGTTCACCAAAGCCCTCCTCCTTCTAGCCTTGAGCCTCACAACTCTGTCCCTTCCAACCACCAACGAAAGCCTCGAAAAACGCAGCACGAAAGCCTGGATTGGCTGCTTCGAGGAAACAGACGAGTACTGCCAAAACGGTGTCTTCAACGACGCCCATCCCCGACCCAAACTCGGTGGAATGAACTATGAGGACTGCCTTGAGTTTACACCAACGACACAGAGATTTGGTATGTGGAACCATCAACTCCCTTCATATCTGCTTGCGACACGAAGAGGTGTTTTGGAAAGTGTTTTTCATTGTAACTTCGGGAATTGGGACCTGATCGAATCATGATACTTGCATGCTTATCTCATAGTGACGACGCTGACGTGAAATCACAGGGGGGAGTTGGGGCAATGGCTGGTGGCTACGTCAGAGCTTCAATACTTACACGGAGCCAGGTTGTACAGGCCAGACTACCTGGTACGGTCGAAACGGGAGTGACGCCGGGTTTTGTGTGGCTTTCAGTGGGTCGTTCCAGAGCATTCAGTATATTGGATAGAGGCGACGTCTCCTCTGACACCGTGTGTTGCATACTGCATGCGATTTTGGATTTCAAGAGACGGCCGGTGCGAGATCTTTTGTTGTTGACCAGGTCACCAGAGTTGCCTGATTTTTGAGTACGCGTCACAGCGTTTTGTTAGCACAGAATTGAGCTGGGCTCGTTCTAGTAGTTATTCCATGCCATCTGTCCTTCTCCATTATTTTCTTTTCATGCATTTCATGTGACAGTATCCGAACGCTGGCATTGGGATCAAACTGGATACTATGTCGGCCGTGGATGAGGTATCCAGTCCTTCATCCTGAGCTGCAGAGAGTTATCAGTGAACAGATTGAGGATAATAGTCAACACGTTTCTCCACACACCCCACCGATCTATATTCACCGCTAGTCTCGCAATATCACTTCCATCGCCTTGCTTGCACCTTGACCAATACGCTCCCCATATTGTAGCCAATGTCGCATTTGTATACGCGATGGTCTTCTCCGTAATCTCACGAGATCTCGTCGGCGACGGTACCAAGCGCTTGAGATCCATTGATTGGCCAACTATTCCCGGGAGAAGCTGCGCAAATGTTTCTCAATGCTCTAGAAGTGTGCTTGCAACAAACCTAGTTTGACGACCAAGTGTTTCAACGCAAGAAGAGCGACGCCGCAGGCACAGCTGCCTCTGAAGGAGGAGACAAGGTGGAATACATTCTCGAAATTGTAATACTATTCACAGAGCGCCACTACAAGCAAGGATTTTGCGTGGGTACATAGTCGGATTGGTTTTCGCCATCATCGTACTCAATGCAAGCGAAAGGACATGAGAGGGTTGCCTAGGCAGATAAGGAATTACGGATGAAGACTGCTCGGTCAACGCAAAATCCTGTAGACCCTATTACTGTGACTGACCCAAATGCCATAGCGCTTCATGCGATCACGTTCCCTCGATCTTCTTGCCATAGATCTTCTCAGCCAACAGTCTCAACTTCATCGGCATGGTAGGATCTCCGTAGTGTTCGATGACATCCTGTTTCTCCACCGCGGCGTTCAGATCGCTCCAGTTCGATGTCCCCACTGCACTCTCCTCACACTCCTTCCTCTTTCCATCCGACCACCAGCTGGGCAGAATTCCGCCTCTCGTCTCTGCCATGTCCAAGAACTCCTGAAAGTCGGCCAGTGGGTCGTCCCCGTTGTAGAGTCCACGAGTATCGCCCGCAAAGTTGTAGTCGTCCTCAACACGCATACGATAGCAGTCAATCAGCTGGCGGAAAGCATCTTTCTTGGGGAATTGATGTAGGTAGTTGTCTGGACAGATACCCTTGAAGAAGTTGCCGAACACTTTGGGCATGGCGTCGAAATTGGTTGTAGCGTGGGGTTCTCTCTGCGCATTGCTCTGCTGCGAAGAGGCACAGAATGCCTTGTGGGCTTTCCAATCGGCTTTCTGGCAGTCACGGCTGCAGTACCACTGGTTTTGGCATTTGGCGCAGCGTTTGAGGGGTATGTCTGCTTGAAGATTGTGGCATCTGGCACAGGCTTTTTGAGAGGGATCCATGGTCGAGGAGTCGTCAATTGAGGAAGACAGGGAAATGATGAGATCGCTCAGCAGTGTGACCTAGAGAAAATGGATGCTTAGTGGAGTACTGTTACATATATATTGCGGATGTATTCTACCAGTTTGCTTCTTGAAAGCGGAAAGCGATGAAAGAACAAAAAATTATCTGGGACGTTGTGGGCTACAGATAAAGAGAAGAAACAAACAGTCAGCACTGTTGTTTTACAGGGGTTGACTCCTTGTGTGGAAACGCATAGAGGTCTGTGCAGAAAATAGGGTCTGTGCATATGGTAATCTACTCGTTGTAGCTCGGTTACATGTAGCTAGTGGCAGCTGAATTTCCGCTGCCGGATTCAGCATGCGTTCCCTTTCTTTGCACGGCTGATCCGAAACAGTGGAACGTGCAGACTTGGAGTGTTTCGATAGAAGATTTCTTCGTCGCCTATGCAGCACCAGATTCAGCATTGGCCGGTCACAAAATCATTCCCATTCTTCCTCCATTTCATCCATCTCATCGTTGGCCGCTTCATCAGCCACTGTGTTATCAGACCTTGGTACCCACTCCCAAGTGACATTGCCATAATCCAAAATATCACTTTGGAGCTCCAGCGCCCTCTCAATCAAGTCACGATTCACAACCTCATTCCCAAGAGAATTGATGAAACCATTTCCCTGCCACTTGCGATACCAATCGGTCATGCAGCCGTGCGCATACTTGGAGTCTGTGTGTATGGTGACCTCCATGTAAGGGTTGCCGTCCAGGAATCCTCGTTCTTTGATAGCATGCTTGAGGGCGATAATGATGGCATAAAGCTCCGCTCGTTGGTTTGTAGGTACTGGACGCATCGACTCTGGTAGACGTCGCGCGAAGGTTTCGTTCTGGCCCCATCTTCTCACGACAAAGCATGCGCAGGCACCATAGGCGCCCGGGTAGCCATTGCCTCTACAACCGCCGTCAACGTACATAACCATTTTGTAGACCATCTTGTTGTAGTGGAAAGGTTGCAGACGTCCAGTTGGCAGTGGGTGCAGAGACAATATGGTGGAGTCCTGGTCAGTGATGCTGGAGGAGAGTGTAACGAAGAAAATATTCTGGACTGAGCCGGCTCGCTGCGATGGTTGTAGCAGAAACGCTGCCAGGGCGAGGCTTGCACATTCAGGGTTTGGTTGAGATACGAATGCTCAGGTTGGATGAAGCCCTTACCTCCCAGCTCTCTGGGAGACAATTGTACCTATATACCTAGAGTAATAAGTCGGGTAAGTGGCAATACGAGGTGGGCTGGGATGACTGAGGGCCCAAGCTACTTCTACAGTAGTCGGGCCACTTAACAATCAGTCTCGAATGATTGGGTAAGAGTGAAGGAGCACGGTATGCATTTTGTCGAAACAAGGTTCCCAGCCTCCTCCCAGCCCCCTGTTGGGAACATATACCTAATCTGCATGGGATACAGATACTGGAGCCGGGGAATCCTGGTATAGAATAGTTGATGCAATCTACACATCACATACCTGCGGGGAAAGCTTTTCCGATTGATTGTACCAACCGAACGAACTAAATCTCTTAACTTGAAATTTACCGTATTGGTAATTTATGTTTCTGAAATTCCAACGGTCCAACCACCAATCCCTGCCCCCAACTGACCAACATCCAACAAATATTCAAAGGTACGAGGGGTAGGAAACGTCAATAATCCAACATGTATCATTCTCCCTCATATCTTCGAATAATGCATGCCTCACAGATATTCTTTGGATTGGGCATCGCAAACTGCTTCCTATACAACTCTCAGACTCCTCCGTTTCATCTACCTCTATACTCGCCCATCACCCATAAAGCGATACCTCTACGGGGACTGCCGTAGAATTCTGGTAACAGGAGCCAGTGATGGCATCGGTCTTGGCATCGCCTCAGAACTTGCCACCAATGGTTTCAACGTCATTCTGCACGGCAGAAACCCCGAAAAGCTCGAGAAGACCAAAACCCAGCTCGAGGGCGAACACAAAAACATTCAATTCAAAGCCGCCGTACTCGATGACGCCTCGGCTACAAGTCAGCAAATTGATGACTTCGTAGCCAACCTCGACGGTCTCAATCTCACCATCCTCGTCAACAACGTCGGCGGCGGCGCCAAAGTCCAGCCTCTGGAAAAGAACACAGCGGAAGAGCTCGGTTTCTTGATCAATGTCGACGAGGTTCCCCGCGCAATTGACAAGGGCCCTTCTACCCAAGCTCGCTAGATCGGACGGCCCAACCCTCATCATGAACATCGGCTCGCCGACTCCGGCGTCCCTTATGCGACGGTATACGGCGGGTCCAAAGCCTTCAATGAGGCGATGAGCAGCTCGCTCGCTGTGGAATTCAAAGCCGAAGGCAAAAACATCGAAGTCCCCGCCATCCCGGTCGGACGAGTTACCGATGTGGCTCACTCCAAGGAGCCTTCTTCTTTCTTCACGCCTACGGCGAGGACGATGGCCAGAAGCTGTGGGGATCGTGTAGGCAGTGGGCGGCAGGTCGTTGTGGGGTATGTCGGTCATGCCATGCAGAAATTTGCGATTGATTCGTTACCCTCGATCGTGTTCGAAATGTTAGTGGTTCCTACTATGAAGGATAGGAACGAGGAGGAAGAAAGGAAGAAACTCTAAAGCTTTGATCTCAATTTGAGGAAGGAACAGGGAACGTCTTCCAGATAGTCTGGGATTCACGGTTATTCTATTCAGTCCTTTTTCTTGGGGAGGTTTTTTGGCCCGGACCATGGCGTCAGTTCTTTCCAATTTGTCGCGAGATACTCTTCCCATGAACTACCCACACATCCTTTTCTCGTCCTATTCGTCACTCCAACTGCAAGCTCCCAGCTTTACATCAGAGTGGTGTGATAATCGGGCTGCCATGCCGCCGCGGGCGCGGCAAATGCCTTTGATATCTCATCTTCCTTGATAGCAACAATATCCGCCGCTAAGAAAAGAATAGTCGACCGGCGATGAAGGGAAGGCTCCCGCCTTCATCCAATTCCCGAGCCTTGTATATGTCCTTGAAACATACTACGCATCATCCACCCCAATCACCCACCCGCCACCTCCTCCCCACCCCTCGTCCTTCTCACCATCGAAATCTGAACCCGATCATGCTGCCCAGCCGTTATCGCACCACCCGTAACATCCCCCAAAGTAGCCTTGACTCTGCAATCCTCATTCAGTCTCCTCGCCGCCGCCTTGACGATTTGCCAGGAGCCGCGTTCCGGCAGCGAAAACGGAGCGAGTTGCAACGACAGGTCGCACGTGCCGACCGTTTCGGTGACCGGAAGCTGCCACGTGTCCATGCTGCCGCCAGAGTGAAAGTAGCCGGGGAGACGGCTGGAAGATAGGATTTCGACGGCGCTGTTGCAGTCGCGGTAGAAGGGTCGGAGCTGGAAGAGTTTGAAGCCGGTGCAGGTCGCTTGGGCGGTGGGAAGGTGGGTGGTGTTGGAGCTCAAATTGGAGGTCGCTGGAAGCCATGATGACGCGACGCGGCAAAGGAAGATGTTGAAAAATAGAAAGCTTGGGCAAGGAAGCATTTTTGTGAATTGATGGGACAATTAGCGATGTTGGTTTTTCTTGCCAGTTGATACAACGGAGTTTGAGCTCTCGAGCCTCAGATGCAGATGCAAAGAAGAGAAAAGTCAAGGCCGAAAACTTCACTTCCACCGCGCTTGCCTTCTCCTGAAGAGAGGACTGGACTTTGTGTTTGATACCCGTCTTCCACGCGCCATTTGCGTCTGAGAAATGATAGGTGCGTCGTTAAAGAAAAGCCTCATGCATTCTAGCGCACCATCTATGCTGGTCCCGGAACAAGGGACCTTTTCCTCATCGGTTTCCGGCCACTGGGTAAACGGCAGTTTCCAGTTGTAAGGCTCCAAGTTTCAACTTGAGAATAGCATTCCTATCTCGGTGAGGTCTTCGTTTCAGGGGCAAAAGTCTACCTGGGTTGCTCTCCGCTTGGCGGCTGGGGAAGGTTGGAAATGAAATTAGGCGCGCGTGCCTCTACAGCAGCCTTTGTGGAAATATGTGGTAAAACACTTAGTTGTATTGGCTACGGAGTTCTAAGAAAGGAGAGAGCGACTTGACACGGGCGCGCTAGGGCATGTCACGTGACCACCAAGCCTTGGCGCCAAGAGCCACCCTCTATGAACTAAAACATCATCAGTTGTAGTGCTTCAAGTTATGTTCCAGGGCCCAAGACCGATGTTGGACTCAACTCTTGAATCATAGGGTCGTCACCATCTGATAACCCTTGTTTAGAGACCCGTAGTAGACATCGTTTCTAGCTGACAGACACAAGGTTTGAGACCGGAGATAGACGCAACCCGCAGGCTAACTGCCGTTGCGGTTTTGCATTGCTCTGCATTCTGGCAGCCTCAAGACTCCGCATAATGAGAGACACACGGGTTTTTGTCCTTGATATCGGACCTAGATTACTATGTAAGTGAACCGCAAGAGGATCGTTGAGCATGGGTTATCTCCTCTACTCCCTCTCCCACTGCCTCCATCAACCTGAAAAGAGTGCATGCCACAGCCATAAAATCTGTCCTTTAACAAAAAGGAAAAAGAGAAAATAAGAAAAAAACAAAAACATACAGCAGCTAGTATTCGCTGGTCGTCACCGACCCAACTACTAATTAGCCGATCTGAGGCTTATCTTTGGCTGAGCGGACGGGAAGCCGAGTTCTCAACAGTCTGTGGCCGTATGTGAAAGAAATTGTCTTATTGTAAAATATAACCTACTAATCCGGACGTGTATCGACTACTTTACAGATGTTATATCTCCCCTTCATCGTACTGCATTCCGGCCTACCAACAGCTCTTTGAGTCATCATTCCCAGATAGTTAGTAACTGTGCTACCTAGATCTGAACAGAGACAGCGTCAATTTGTAGTAAGTGGCAGGCTGAGATGATCGTCCCACATGGCGGCTTTCACCACTGGGTTAGAAAGGACCCATCAAGCTTCCTCGATCCTCAATATCCTCAAGTCTGTTCTTATCCAAGCCCCCTCGATCTTCTCGAACGATGCCTGCCACCAAAATTACCATCGGGCGTTATGGTCCCGAACATCATCGCATCGACTGACAGGGCGTAAGATTTAGGAGTTCAGCCCTAGGGCAAAGGGATTCTACTAGGTACGCGAAAGGCACCAGCCAATTGAGAGAGCTCTTGTTCAAGTGGAACCAAGAGGGCATCAAAATCTATTCGTCTAGTATTCGTGACTTCCAAAATCCACCCACTATGGGACATACTTGGTCAACTCCGAACAGTTCCTCTGTTCCGCATTCTCAATTTTCTTCCACCAATGTGCCGTCGACTTCCCACCCCTTATCTTCCCTCTCTCCTGCTTCTGCAAGAATTCCTCTCGAGACTTGGTCCCGAAGTGATGCAACGCCCATCTATCTCTCGTAATCGGGCTTCGATCGCAGTTCCTAGTGATTAGATCGCCGTTCTCGCCTACTTGTATAGCTTCGTTTTTCAATTTGGCCATACAGTGACAGTTCCACATGTAGCCAAATAGGGCTGGACGCACGAAGGTTTTGACCTTGAGGTTGTCGTTGTGAATATTGTCCACGATACAACGATTAAACGCTTTACGGGGTCCGTCTGCAGGGCGGGTGAGTAAGCCGGCGGAGCTATGGACAAGCCAGTTAACCCCAATAGCACCGACGGTATCATTGCGGGCCCAATCATGCAGAAATTCCGAAAGGGTTTCGCCGCCGGTCATTTCTAGGAATTCGTCGGCATCAAGGAAACCCATCCATTTGTGTCTATCACCAAACATTTTTACACATCCGGTGTAGTATTTTTCCTGAATGCCTTTTCGCTCGCCTAGTCGGTTTGAGTGAATATGAGGTTGGAAGTAGACCCATGTGATAGAGGAGGATGGGATAGGATAGGATGCAGTAGAGAGAGGGGGCTCGGTACCGTCATCGAAGACGTAGAAGCGGCGGATACCGAGGTGAAAGTAGTGGTGGGAGAAGAATTCGGGGAGATCCAGGGATTGGTCCTTCACTGTGATGTGCGCTTAGAACTCTGCTGGAGTGGCTTCTGCAATAAGCTTATAGGTGCTCACCTGCCATACAGATTGCCATGTACTCTTCATCATCCGGAGGCGGAAGCGGAGGGAACGGCGCTGGTGAGGAAATGCTTATTGAGGGAGACGTGATGTTGTGCGGTAGGGCATAGACATCTGGGGCGGAAATGTTTGTTGAGGGAGTCATATCGTTGTGTGGTCGGGCATCAATATCTGGTTGTTCTTCGGATGTATTTGTAGGGGGGGTCGTGAATTTTTGTGGTTGGGCATCGACACTTGGTTGTTCGTCGGAAATGTTTGTAGGGGAAGTCCCGACTTTGTGTGGTTTCGCATCGACATTTGGTTGTGCGTGGCCAGCCAAGGTTGATGCAGCAGAGGCAGCAGACTGCTTTGCTTGCTTGGAAACAGAACTATACGTCTTACGCAAGCGTCCTTCGCTACCAGCATTGAACGATATCAAAGCTAAGAGAGCGCAGGCAATGACGAAGCTCAGGACACGTATTGACAGATGAGGTCTCGCTGGTAAAGCCATGATCAGTGGTAGCACGATAATGGACTGTAGGACTAAAAATATAGCATAGCTAAGAGATTATTGAAAAGGAAGAAGGGTTAACAGTCTAGGGCGAGCAATCGCTCATGTCAAAGTAGGTGGGCAAGGATGGTTTAGATACGGTACCTTATCTACATTGCTCTCTGAGATGTTCGGTGCGCTAGGTTCACGCGTAGTTGCTGCCGCTGGTTGCATATTTGTGCATAAACATGCATATTCGGGAACAGCCGAGGCCTAATCGATCAGAAAGCTCACGCGGTCTTGCTCGGAGGTTTGATCAAGTAGTTATCTATGAAAACGAGCCAAGATGCAGAGCGGGATGCATATGCCTGGGGTGACATGACATGGCATGCATGTGCAACTCCGCAATAACGACGCCCTAGCGGTCCTTGATCAAGCCATCAGCTGGGGGAGCGAGTAGTAATTGGCTCGATGCCCGTGTTACTCTTCTGCTCGGGACCTGTATGAGGCGTATAACTGCTGCCCGTACGAGCTGACACTTTATCGTCGGAACTCGATGGTTGCGATCGATGCTTCGAAATTATTATTTGAAATAGATATATCTATCGATGGCGACACAATAGCAGCTACATCAGCTGTCCTGTTCTAACTAGCATCAATTACGACAGTAGCCTGCGTATGGATATATGTTGTACAGGATGTTGCTGACAATGTGTCCGCGTCTGCGCTTCCACTCCGGACCGATGGCAGCTAATCGTGACCCCGCTATTCGCTTATGAGGGTAGCGAATAAGGTTTTAGTGGGGCCATGATTAACCAAAAGGAACCAAGAGCTTGGGGCGCATAGCGCAGAATGAAATCGCGGGTCCGGGGTTCGAATCAGACATTCGACCCCAGAAATAGCTTTTTCCTGAGCGGTTTCGGCTAGACCGCCCTATACAAAGAAGTCTTTCGGACGAAGCACCCTATGCATTTGGCTCACACGGTCAAATTTTCCGATAGAACGCCCTAGAACTACGAGTTTCTCGGGTACAATGCACGTGTCCGGGTAGGACCTGTGAGGTAATCTACCGTATTGCTTGGGTACAAGTTGCGCCGAAACGCACCGGGAAGCACACTTAACTTCCGGCAGTACCCTACAACCGAGAGTCTTTCGGTTGGAAACCCCATCATGTAAGACGAAAATGCTCTATCGTGCGAGCGAGATGCCTGAAGGCGAGGGCCGGCGCCGTCACAACCTGTCCAGGGCACAGAGTCCCAGTAGGTCGGGTGCGAGATGCCTCGGGGCAGTCCCAATCATAGCGTCTCATCAGCGCGGTGCCTTCGGGACATATACGGGCACTATGCGCCTAACACGCGGGGCTGCAGACCTAGAATGGGAGTCCTGCGGTGTACTCGGCATGGCGATACCGATCATTGGAGACTTCGCGGGGGGTGACCCCTGAAGCATTGGGCGTGGTGCCCTTCAAAAGAACTTTGGTTCGGGGTAACTATAACCCTGTAACGGTGATTTCAGTTTCTCTGGCGCTCGAGGAGGAGCCCCGTGAAGGGAGGAAATAACCGTTAGACTTGGGGCTCTGCTGGGGGCTCATATGAGACCAAATATGGGTGTCTGGCAAATGAAGCGCAGACACCCCGGGCATAATTGTCTGGGAGAGAATTGCTATGCTTTTGGGTTTGCTAACAGTTGTGTGTTATTCGGCGACGTCGTGATTTATGGTTGATGTTCTGATGAAGGCGCAGTGTAGCAGCTCGATAATGTCGCTGCTGGTAGAAACATGGGAATTGGAAACCTCGATATCTGACTAAAGTCTCGATCAATGGGGTGAGGCGTGCTCTAGATGAGGTATGTATCGCGTAGGGTATAAGACGAAGAGGTTCGAGTAATCGAGCATGGATACTGGATCTGGAATTCACCTGTCAGTAGTTCGTAACGTCGGGTTTACAGTGGCTTACCCCAACGCTTGGCCAAAACCCCTCGGACCTCGCATCAACGCGGCCGCTTTGGCAAGTGAGTCAGCTAGGTGTGTAGAGATTATGCTCTCACCCTACTGGAGGAAACCTTGGCCGAGAAGACGTGGATCTGTCTGAAAAGTCTGCCAACGTCTGTCAGGTAGTATTAACAAGGTTTGTGTATAGCTCTGTAATGTTTTGCGGGCTTTGGTTACCCTTTTCACCGCTGAGTGGAGGGATTTTTAACGAAGAAGAAACGTGCAGCGTGCCCGCAAGGTTTTGACTCTAACGACTAAATGTTTCTATTACTCCAGATATCTCTCCTTTGATGTAGTGAGCTTTCCTACTGCTAGGTCTCCTTAACAATTGATGATGACGCCTTTATGTGTGTGAGTCGCAGTGCTATCTAGCTCATAGGATTTAGATGTCCTTAATCATTGTTTTATATGTGTTCTAGTGCTCTATGTGCTCTACGTGCTCAATAGCGAAGACAATACGAGGATCAGAAATGACCTTATCTCAGGCTCTCGATAATCAGTGTAGCAACGGTTTTCACTGCAGTTTACGGAAAGCCTCCTATGAACCTCCACTTCAATATTAGTAAGACTGACTGCTTAATGGACACTTTATCTTGGGAACCACACCATGCCGCCGTACTTGCCAAGAGTGCTGGTTGGATGGTGAGCAATAATGAAGGCACGCCTAAGCTGGCTCCTTCGTGACCAAATCCAACTAGTCTTTAGGCGTAGATGGCATTGAGTAGTATATGCTGTCATCGTCATGAGGCAAGTCATCTTCACCAAGGACGTCATCCTCATCAGGAAAGGTATTAGAGTCCATGGATTGGCTTTTGAGCTCTTGATAGACCTCCCGAATTGCACGACCGAGTTCAGATACACCTGATGTGGTGTCTTTCAATTCTGCTTCATACAATGCAGCCTCTCCCAGTCCTAACGCTCTGAGGATATTATTCGATTGCTGCTGGGACGAAGCGTACCACTCTTGGTCACCGGAGTTATCAATCTCAAACCTGAGGTGCAAACCCTTAGAATACCAGTAAGTGCCCTTCGCTATGAAAATGTTCCGAAGCTCTTTGAGTGCAAGTGCATGTTCTAAGAATTGCTTTATGACCGATAAAGCAGAATATTGAAGCTTCAGCTCGATGGAATAGACCTTGGGGTTGATATCTAATCTCGACGCGAGAGAAACAACTGCCCAAGCCTCTATCTGAGACGACTCTTCCTGGGTTGACTATTCGAAGGCAGTTTGGCAAAGGAAGGGACGTCTAGGATCTTCGAGTATTTCTTGAATGTTACGCCGTTGTCCAGGAAGGCCCTAACAACCTCGATCGAGGCTTCTCTTGCGGCGAATGTTCACTCCGTCGCTCGCGAAAACTTTCATTATAATTGTGGATCCATCTTAGAACTTGCACCATCTCGTGCCATCAAGCGCTACCGTATTTGGATCCCCACCACCTTTTAGAAGCATAGCTACAAGCTCGAAATTTTTCAATTCTCTCCGCGTCATATCTTGGTCTATTGTTAGAAGCCATAACTCACTAATAACACAGCAGTGTAGGTAGCTCGCTTTGTTTCTATGGAAAGATCCTGTCCGGTCTCAAAATTTTGCTGCACGTGTAACAGAATACCGTATCGGGCGGCAAGACTAAGAAAAGTCGACGGGACTGGTGGGTATCGGACCGGAAGAGGGCGTTTTCCGAGGCTCGATTTCCGTCTGAGTGGACAACCTCTTCCGCGGAGAAGACAGTGTCTCCACTGCGATCTATACATAAGATGTTGATAGACCCAACCTCTGCACCGATTGAGAGATGAAGCTTCAATTTCCTAGCGCTTCAGCCATTTTGCACAATGTTATCGAGCTGATCCATCAGGGCAATCTGAGCAACAGCCGTCTTGTCTTCAGCGTGAAAAACACTCGTCTGATGTAGTGGACATATCATCGAGAAACTCGAGCCATGTCCGTGTGACACAACGTTGAGAAATTGCGAAGACAACGAGGATGCCAAGTTCTGCTCTGATGTACAGCTAATCAAACCTACGGAAAGACACCCTCCGCATTTCTTGAGATCTCATGAACTGTCTCCAGGATCCGGTCAGATGTCCTCTTGCTAGCGATTTTGTTTGAGGGAGACTAGACAATCGGTCCGTGGCATATGCTCGGAGATTTTGCTCTGTGAAAGTTTTGCAACTTCAGCTTTGAGACATGGCCGAGGGCGTCCTTAAAACCTCTGTAGGAGCGACTAGACAAGCAAACTTTGACGTTGAGACTCTGTATCCTGTCTTCAATCATCTCGATCAGCGGACGATAATCTCCAATGAATTCGTCCCGCCCGTCAATAAAGAAGCATGCGCGAGAGGAAGTTATTTCACGAATAATGCGCTAGGTCATCTGAAGACGTCACTCTGTCCAATCTGAAACCGTCTTAAGGCTGCTATCTGCTGGAGTGGATGGCCCTGATGGAGACTCGGACTTGCCAGAATCATCGAGCAATGGTATCAAACGGCGGAAAGTCTCCATGATTTGACAAATAAGGGATCTTAGCAATCCTACATTGCATCGGGCTCCTTTTCATGAAATCTTTGAACAAGATTGCAAATACAAAAATGTCGTTTGGCAAACCGAACATACCTTAAGCTGACGCGATTTTCGTGTATCTAGAATATTTTGATACTGATCCAGTTTCTTTTGGATGTCCTCAATGGCGCCTATCTTCCACAACCCTTTGAGACTTCTGGCCAGAGCCTGCCGTTCCCGGGGTGAGCCTTGTATCTGAAGTAAGTGAAGCTCCTCGATCACTTCTTTTGAAGTCTCCGAGCATTTGATCGCTAGATCCTTGAGTTCCTTCTCGTCATCGAAGATTTGCTGCATACTTCTGGGGCTAAGAGCAGTGGTTGACAGATTCAAATCAGTACGAAGGTTTGAAAGGTGTTTGGCCATCGACTCGATCTTTTTGTTCTCAACCAGAGACCCGTTCCCATGCCAAAGTCCACGACCTGGATTACGCTGCAAGCAAGAGAAAATGCAGTAAGTGGGTCCATCGCAGCCTGGAGGTACCACTAACAGCTCCCAATACAGCAGATACTGGTAGCTGCCCTGAGCAAAAGCTAGATAAGAAGATTTAGAGGTTGAGGATGAGATGTATGACTGTGGCTTTCACATTGGTCTAAGTATAATGCTGGGGTTTTAAGGAGGACAAGCAGTCCACCAGGGGCCAGGCTGCGCTTTTGCAACGCAGCTTGTACTATCAAAGAGAAAGGTAACACGCTACTCAGTAGCAGTGCTTCTCTTCCCTGCGCCGGCCTCTGGGAAGATTCTCACACATTGGCCAAATCACAGAGGATTACGCAAAGTCAGAGGAATGCAAGCAAATCTCGCCCAAGGGTGCATCGCCAGAAGATACTTTCATCATCATCACTGACTGTATGCATGGATCATTCATTGATAATATCTTTGATATCTGCCGTCTTACCTGTTCGGTGTCTTGTTCCACATCAGAATTCACATACCACTCCCCACAGCCTCTGTTCCTCATCTTGAACCTCCTTCATCGACAACCCTCAGCTACCCACTATAACAGGCTCGATCTTTCGACCGTGTGACATGCCTCATTACATCAAGCAATATTCGTTGCTAAACCCAAGTTTCATCATAGTACCCGTTACAGCCGCAATTAATGCGTCTAAATCATCCCACGGGTTGAATCTCTGCAGTGTTGTCGGCTGGGCGGGCCGCAGAACTCTCACTACAACATACTCAGCCCCATTCTCTATCCCACGCGCAAACAAAACTGCCTGCAACCCAATCGCATCCCACTGTTTCAAGATATAGCCGCATCCGCTTGACCCTGAATGCTGCAACGAGCCGCTATCCGCCTTCACACCACACGCTCTCACGCAAGCCACGTTTTTCATCATTGTTGCTAGGTAGGTAGCTCTTGAAAGCCGCCGTGCTGGTTGATTTCTGCTGTTCTTTTGGATGATAAGACGCCATGACATGGAACTTCTTCGGATATCGTGTCCAGCATCACAACTGGCTTTACTCTTCTCCCTAATCCATTTGAGTGCCCTCTGCACTGCGATCACACTCCCCCACGATGTCCATACCGTCGCATTCACCAAACTTGTTCGCCACGAAGAGCATCCCATACAGCCGTCAACGCAGCCATTCTCAACCCAGCCTATCGCCAAAGCCCTCTCCACTACCAACACAACGAGCCCGACCCCACCGCTGTATATCTTTCACCTCCTAGACCTTCGCTCCATCGTTGCGTCACCAGAAACAGAACACAAAGTATTCAGAGCCATGGAGCGCACCTGCGAAGTCTTCGCATATTGTCTCCTCGATCTCGACCTTCTCGACCAGCAAGACCTAGTCTTGCGCCTCGGCGATTTCACCCTCGATTTCCACGATATGGCGGAGCATTTGAGCATCCTAGCTGTGAAGGCGGTTGTCATGAAGCTGATGCAGATGATTATAAAGGGGCTATTCGGGTTTGTCCAGGGAGAGATGGTTGATGCGCACGCGGGAGTGAGGATGATCTTTGCGTTTGGCGTCTTAGGTGTTGATTATGAGAACCGGGCATTACGAAAACGGAGGGCAGGCGAGAAGGGAATGACCCCTTCTTCCAATGGTTAATGTCTAGACCCGGTATTCAGATAGGTAAGTTGGCTAGTGAGCCTCATACCTCGTTCGATACCGCAGTTGTCTTTTCCCGCGTGTGCTTTGCAGACCCACCATTAGTCTGGATGTGGACCCCTATGAGCTTTTGAGCATGCATAAATAGTATTAAATCCGTTACCAGATCAGCAAAGGCATCTCCCAGCATACTCAACACCTACCGACTCTGGTTTGTGCATCGTCATCAGTACTCTGCCAAAGAAAGGTGTAGACCTCAGTCATAGCAGGTCTGATTGTCAAAGCCACGCATCCTGCCTGCACAGCAACATGTTTGGGTGATTTCGCCCATTGGAAAGCCATCACCGGCTAGAGATCGCCGAGGTAGTTTGGGATTCTCCATTAGCGGTCTTGCATAGCGGGATTCGTCGAAAGAACGGTACCGAGTATTGGAACAGAATGTAGCGACGACTAAGACAATAGATAAGGAAAGTAAGTACATGCATGACCGAAAGCCAAAGGTTTTGATCATGGTAGAACCCCCGAATTTGACCAATATGATCAAGAGAACCTTTCGCAATGTGCATCAGGGGTATAAACACAGGCAGATCGTCGAAATGGACGATGAGACGGCATTGTGACCTACAGGCGTCGAAGATCGGGCTAGGGGAGGGTGCGGGACGTGCAATTACACGGGCAGATGAAAAAATCGCAATTGCTGAAAGCGTCAAGTACCAATGAATGAGTGTTCCAAGGTGCTTAGCAGCGTTTGCCGAAAAGTTCAGGACGAAGGAGTGATGAAGAAAATTCTGCTCCCAGCGGGCGGCGCAATGGTACTCGTTCCGTGGCAACCATTATGGTATCCGTGTCTCCAGGCTCCGAACAACATCGTATATTTGATAAAGCTGATACAGGCAAAGCTCGTAGCGCTCAGAGGGCTATCTCCAATACTGATTCTTGTTTGGTGTATCGGCTGTAAAATCTGGCTAAAGGGAGGAGCAGCAAACAGTGTCAAAGATACCAAAAGGGTAGTGGAAGGACTTGAAAACAGCCTAATACAAACATCGCTCTTAACGAGTACAAGCTCGCTTTCCTATGCAAACAAAATGCGCGAGGGCAGGTTGAAGATAGCCTCCCATTGCAAATCGTCCGACTAAAGAGCTGGGATAGCATACGTAGCATTTACAAGCATAGTATAATTCTCGGCTAAAGTGTTATTCACACCGAGCATTCGTTCTGGCGGCCGCTGAGGCACCGATGATACGGTGATATTACCTCCCGGTGGTAGAGCATTCAACCCTGTTGTGATCAGTCACGCAGTTCTTAGAATTTTGCGTTAGAACTCTACTTACCACTGAGATCATCATTATCCTGTCGCTTCCCCCAGCGAGATCGACGGCTGACCACAGGCTGAGGCCCGAAGTAAGCCTTGCCTCCGGTGCCTGCGTAATAGGGAGGGTTGACGCAGATGTTGAAGAGGGTATCCAGTGCTGTGCGTATTTGGCGCCAATTGAGTGTTATGGTGGTTGCTGCCGTGATAGCGACTTGACATGTACCTGGCATACATCAGTCAGGAAACCTCGCTCTTAAATATAAGTTCTTTTCGAACACTGACCCGATGAGAGGAATTTCACTACCCCTGCTCCTACCGAGATAGTATCGTCGTCCGCGCCCAGTTCCCCGTACTCAACGTTTGCGCAATCTACCGCTGCGGGCGCACCCAGCTTTGCGTCACATTCATAGGTCATTTCGTCAGCAGAATCTGGAACCTGCTGCCACCATGGCGTGGTACCGCCGGGTCTCATCTTCTGACTCACGACTACCATACGGTGGACACTTGCGCCAAGTATCGCTCTGACCTCGTTGCTGGCGCCCTTCATGACGCCACTTAGGTACTCTGCAATCAACACAGCAATTGAAGGATGTGTATTGCCTGGTTGTGGGTCTCCAAAGGTCCGTGCTTTCACCGAGACAGTCAGGAAGTGAGCAGATATTGCTGTACGATAGCGCGTTCAAAGTCAGTCTCGGACGCATTTTCGTAAGAAAATGTATTATATTGCCTTACGATATGGGAGACTCAAGTCAGTACTGGGATCTTGAAGATAATTGGCCAGATTCGATATCTTGTTCGTAGCAAAACCGCCAAGATACCCTCCCCTTTGGACACAGTCATTGACAACATAAGCAGCTAAGCCCCGAAGCTGGAAAGGAGAAGCCCTGATGGTAAAGGGTGTGTTCGTTGTTGCTGGATCATAGAAAGCCTTTGGACCCGCGACCTCGATGGAAATGACACAATTGCCTTGAGAGAATTTAGTCCAAGTCCCGTGCGACAAGTTGGATCAAGTATACATGCCAGGTGTTCCTGCACCAGCTTCGCCCTTAGGAACCGTCCAGCCAATTGACATTGGCAGATGATACTCCTGTGCATGAAAATTCACTGCCCATTCGACCTCGGCGCTTTGTCGAGCCCACGGCATATTCTTCACTGCCTCTTTGCAGTCTCGCTTGGCCAATTCCCGTCCGAATTCGGGGACACATCGTGCAAAGTCCGGAGTTGTAGGCTCAATCAATCGTGGATAAGCTTGTAGAGTGTAGGGGTTGTTTCTCGCCGCGGCGCCGAAGCCGAAGCCGCCCCCAAAAAAGCTGCTCATATTTGATTGAGGATGATGTGATATCCTTTGGAAATGAAATGAGTGACACTAATTGGCGCACCTTATGCTTGTCTCGTGCTTGAAAGGGTGTTGGAAGATGTCAGAGATTAAATTTCATGGCAGAATAGCTTCATGGCAAAATTTGCGGCTATGAAGCGGCTTAGACAGGAAATGGGTTGCGCCAAAAGTACACAAGCGATAACAGGCTGCGGAGAGTAGCTCTTGGTTCTGACAGTGGCACGCTTAATTTGCGATGTCGGTAGATTGTGTACGCAGTCCAATGAAGTTCTTCGGGACGCGATATTATTTATACGACATGTGTATCGTGCCTCACACTGGTGCGAGATCCTGGTGATGACTGAGACTCTTCTTCAACCATGATTAAGGGTACGCGACCTATTTGTAAGCTAGTCGGCATTCAAAGTATCATCTTTCTCAAAATCCCTTAGAGGTTGGCCATGCGACATGAATGGAAGGAAATGCTGTGCCAGAACAGTCCGTGTTTCAAAGGATCCAGTGTGATCAGGCAGCAGCGATGCAGCTTCCAGACTTCGTAAGCCACGACATGACCGCCTTAGTTGATGCTTCACTTCTTGTTCAGCGTGGATCGTTGGACCAGTTGACTCATAATCTGGGAATCTCATTCCAGAATGACCATGTTATCGACATTGCCCTCAACTTTCACATCCATGATATCCTCGTTGCCGGGATAACACCTGCAACGAGCTTGGTTCCTCCAGGTCTTGAAACCCCGCGTGCTTCTTTTGGAACAGTGGAGCCCAAAGGCAACCAAATGTAGAAGCCAGGGTTGGATGGACGGTGAAGTGGCGTCACTCAAGACTGCCGTCTATCGGAGAATTTTGACCACTCAGACAACCTTCTCGGCTTCCTCAAGCAACTCTTCCACCTTGAAACCTCCATCACCTTGGCTAAATTGCTCAAGTAGTTTCTTCCTTTCCACCTTATGCTCCGCCCCATAGAACTTTTGTAGACACATCAGTAGCCATTTGCCTTCGTCCACCGTGATACCTCTGCCATCCACCACATTTCCTTGAAGTAGTACCAACCCCTTGGAATCGGCAAGATCGAGATGATGTGTGACTGTTGTGTGTGGTTGGGCATACTCGCCTCTTGATTTGAATTCTGCCAGATGGGTGAACAGCACGGTGGATGTAGTGGGTGATGGGAAGGTCCATTGCAGGAAGTGTATCTCTGCCCCTTTGCCTCCTCTTGGAATTGGAAGTATAAATTGCGGATGTCGCCGAGCCGTCGCCTCGATGCTATTGTAGGTGGACCGGGGAATGACAGCGCAAAGCGATTGAGGATCAGAAGCGTGGCGAAGACGCCATATGTATTCTATCTCTTTCTGGGGAAGCTCAAGCGTCTTGGGAATGTCGATGTACGAGGAAAGAAGTTTAACGCCCGGCGGAATTGGGGATTTGTTGGAGGGAGTGGTCTGGGATGATGCTTTGGGTGTCGGATGATCAGGAACTTGAGGCGGAGGCGGCGGCGCAGGGAAGCCAGACGATGTTGCTGGACTGATGGGATTGGGTGCAAGTGCTTGTCTCCGTTGGCTCCGGATCTTATCTTGATAGACAGTCTTCAACTCATCCACGTCTTTAAGACCTTGCCTGGGCAACTTATTAGATGGAGAACCGGGGTGGAGAAGACAGATGCAAGCCTACTCCTTTGCTTTTTGATACAGCTTCTCTTTGTATTTCTCCTCGATAATCTTGTCAGGCTGGCGGTGCGTTACTAGGAAGCGTACATCGTGCACCTGGGCATGCCTTCGCTGTATCCCCCTCAGATAGGGCGATGTTGTATTTCCAAAGGCATGGCGGAGAGCAGGAAGTCGGAACGCGGACATGTCGCAGCTATTGTAGCAGAAGGAGAGAAGGACTGACCGACAATGCAAACAAAATCAATGCTTTTGATGCGACGAGTGTTGTCGAGGAAAGGGAGAAAAAAGCGGGAGATGTTGCTGGCCAAAATGCCGGTCTGATCGACGGAATTAAAGTGCCTCGGCAGCAACCCCAGAATTCCGTCCCCACCGTCGTTATGGTCTTCACCTCCTCCTCTTCCTCCTCCCCTCCCGCATGCTCAATGAAAGAGGTCATAGTCTTCCAATTGTTTTCCGATCCTATCCTCAGCAACCCAACCCTAAACCAAGATGCCTACAGAGTCGCTCTATCCGAAATTCGATATCCCAAAAACTGACCTGTGGGGCTTTCTTTTCGAGCGCAATGACAGACCATATCCTGACGACAAAAGTACTACTTTACTGTTCCCTACCAATTGCCAATCTCATTGCTGATTTGTCCGTAGTAATCTATAGAGACGCCGACACCGGCAGAGCCTACTCCTACGCCCAGGTCAAAAGCACAGCCATTGATTTTGGCAAGGGGCTCAAGTCCGTATGGGAGTGGCGGAAAGGGGATGTTCTGGCTATCTTCACCCCCAACTGTATCGATACACCAGCCATAACTTGGGGCGTGCACTGGGCGGGAGGCGTAGTGTCTCCGGCAAATCCTGGCTATACAGCAGAAGAGTTGGCATTCCAATTGAAAGATTCAGGCGCCACAGCATTGGCAACTCAGAAGCCGTTCCTCAAGGTCGCGACCGAAGCTGCAATGCAGGCTGGTATACCCGAAGACAGGATTATCCTCATGGGCGACGAGAAGGACGAGTCGATGAGATTCAAGCACTTCTCGTCTATACGGAATCTTGCGGGGACGAGCAGATACCGCAGGACAAAAGCCCATCCAAAGAATGATCTTGCATTCTTGGTATATTCTTCGGGTACAACAGGTCATCCAAAGGGGGTCATGTTGTGCCATGAGAACATAATCTCAAACATCCTCATGCTTAAAGCAGGAGAGGGCGGTAACTTGTCTTGGGATGGGGGAGCTGACGGCAATGGCGACAACATTATAGCATTTCTTCCTTTCTACCATATTTACGGTGAGTATCCTAGACAGGGATACAAGTTGTCGATTCTGACACCACCCAGGCTTGAATTGTTTAATATGTCAGAGTCTCTACAGCGGCCTCACGCTAATCGTGATGCCAAAATTCGAGATCGAGAATTTCTGTACCATTATTCAAAACCACAAGATAACGTTTGCGTACGTCGTTCCACCAGTAGTTCTGTTGCTCGCAAAGCATCCTATAATCGACAAGTACAACCTCAGCAGCCTCCGCATGCTCAACAGCGGGGCTGCACCATTGACCCAAGAGCTTGTCGAGGCAGTACACACGAGACTCAAAGTCCCTATCAAACAAGGATACGGTCTCAGCGAGACAAGCCCAACTACGCATACTCAGGTAGGCAAGCGCCCAGGAATCATCTTTTGTATCTCTAGGCTTACAAATGACGAAGCCGTGGGAGCTCTGGGATAAGACCATCGGCTCTGTAGGAACTCTTCTCCCCAATCAGACCGCCAAATACATGTCACCCGACGAAACAGAGCTTCCGATTGGCGAAACCGGCGAACTTTGGGTCAAGGGCCCTAATGTCTTCAAAGGCTACCTCAACAATCCCGAAGGTACCAAGAATGCATTGACCGAAGATGGGTACTTCAAGACTGGAGACGTGGGCCATCAGGATAAAGACGGCAATTTCTACATTACGGATCGCGTAAAGGAGCTGATCAAGTACAAAGGATTTCAGGTGCCGCCCGCAGAATTGGAGGGGCTACTAACTAGCCATCCCACTGTGAATGACGTCGCCGTCATCGGCATCTACAACAAAGATCAAGCTACGGAGGTGCCAAGAGCATACATCGTACCCAAGCCGGGAGTCGAAGGCACTCCGAAAACCGCGAATGATATTATGCAATGGCTTCAAGCCAAAGTCGCGAACCACAAGAGACTCCGAGGCGGCGTAAGATTCGTTGATGAAGTCCCGAAAAGCGCTAGTGGGAAGATTCTACGGAGACTGCTGAAAATCAAGGCCCAGGAAGAGGATGAGAAGGGGCAGAAGGCCAAGCTATGATCATTGATCACATGGTAAATTGTGAGTTGCGAATATATGTTGATTGGTCACAGTAGACTTGTATAACACAAATGCTACACGATCACGTCACTCTAAAGGTACGTTGGCGGTTTTAGGTAAGCAAGAGCGTTCCGCCACCGGCGCCAGACCACCGGATTATTAGCCCCTATAAGGCGTCCCTTCCGAACCTTTCCCCCCCATGATTGGTGCCGACGAGCAGCGCTGCCATTTTCTTGTGCCAAGTCTTGGGGGCCGACCGTCGTTCATTTGCTACCAAGCACGGCTTCTTCGACGAGACCTGTCCAAGGCCTTGCGGCTGGTAGCTGTCCAATTGTGATCCAAAGTGACCTCTTTTTTTAACACTACTTTAGGTCACGAAGTTCTTACACGCCCAGTCACTAAAAGTGTGATTCCCTAAGAGTGGTCACATCGAGCCGAATTGGCCTACCACTTCTCTCTTCACCTAATGTCATAGTTGGGAGCGATTTATTTGATGTCAACCGTGACTTGCCCCTATCAACATTTGCCAAAGTCCTAAGGTTGGCTACCTTTCAGTCTATGTCAGATGCGGCGTCCCGAAGCTTGCCAAGTCGAATGTCATTGGCTCACATTCTACCTGTTCCCCGATGTCCCTGTTTGTTAGACATTCCTTCGATGCCACCCGAGCCTACCTCCTATCAGCATTTCCCAAAATGTTGGGGCTTTCAACTCCGCGTTTCATGCAGACGCAGCATCTCGGCAACGGATCAAGTCGACCAGTAATAGTCCATTATGTATGTTGATTCTAAGATCACGGGTCGACAGCATCACTACTTCACCCCGTGACGGCGAAGGTGTTCTCCACTTTGGCATACGACGTAGAACTCCAGCCACCTTCGGCTGATGACTCCTGCAGTTCGAGTCTCATCTTGCTAGAGTGTATTTGTTACCATCCATTCGTACACTCTTCTGTTGCTGAGGTTCCATCTGGCCATCCAACACACACAATCGCCCATATTCTAGCGACGAACTAGTGCTGTCGCGGTCTCATCTTGTCACACAACAAGTCCTCAAACCCAACTTTCTTAAGACTCCTTCACTCTCAAAGTCCTCGTCTTGCCACCAAACACCAGCTTCAATCCGCGTCTTCTTAACGAGCTTCAACCCATCCACCTGTCAGGAAGCACCGGGTATCAACCATCACAGCCATACTTTTACTACTCCAGCAAGGTTTGTGTCTCGTCATCTTCCAACGTTTTATGTTTCAGATTCACCAGACTGCCGAATAAGAGCCGTTACCGTTTGCTTGACCAGACTACCCACTTTGCCCTGCCCAGAACCTAGAATTCCTATAATCGAGTGGTCGACGATCCAATACTCGCTCTACATAGCTCAAGGATCGACCATTGCATGAGGATCGTATCCGATCGACAACCTGACCCACAATTTCAAACACTACAAGCCAGTCACTGCATGGGAATTTGACACCATCGAACGATCCGACAGTCACTCCCTAATTCTACAAATTACTTGTGCAAAGGAACATTTACCTGCCCAGTCTTCAGTATGGAAACCATTGGTCCCACTTTTCCCGCCGAGTTTGCACGCTTGTTCCTTCGACCAGGTCGCCTCAAAGTTGAAGGACGACACAAATTGGAACCAGCATGCTCGAAAATACATAACAATACATTCGGAGAAGTCTGGCATTGAGTATTATGGCAGCGAAAGTGAAAGCGAAGGTGGCTCAGGACCCCAACGGCAGAAAAAACCGGTTTGGCGGGGCTACTACGAGTTGAGCTTCGATGTACCTCCTAGGGATCCCCGCTTCGGATGGGTTCTTGGGGGTGGAAACTACCTGGTGATGAGAGTCCTGAGCTCGTATTGACCGAAAGGAAATCACATGACAATGTCCTCGGTCGCCATGCACGACTGTTTCACAACCACTCATCGGGAGCACTGATGCTTCATCTTGCAAAGCAGAGTTTTGCTGTAGTTGACGGCAAGAAAGTCAGTGACTCGACCACCATTTGGTCTGATCTTACACATATCACCTTCGGAGCTCTGAGTTACCAACTCCAGCTCGATGGTGCCAATGACAGTGCCCATCGAGGCCGACTGACCCGCTACCAGAAAATACACGGCTTGACGGTGAATGATTACCCTGTGAATCTCTTGTCAACGCCAGCCAAGTCTGACTACATCCACAAAGACTATGTCATCAAGAACGCGATCGGCCATGGAAGCTCCTCAACCGTCTTTGCAGGTGAGCACATAAAAAGTGGGAATGCCGTTGCAATCAAGAGAATGACCCGTACTCGTCAAAACGCTGGCCCAATCGAGCGGGAAATACAGATGACAGCCTTTCTCGGTCGTCATGTAAGGCTCCTTCAATACCCCTGGTTACTATGATCTGTATCTAGCTGACAATCCTTAGCACAGCCTCTGTCACCTGATCGATGGGATGTCCCCCAATGGAGACCGTCGAGGCCAATATTTTCGAAATGGCGCCTTTGACGAAGTCTACCTCATCTACAGTCCATTGGTAACCACAACATGGTTTCCTCTCTGTGAGCCAGGACCAACAAGTGACGCCTACTACACTATATGCACCAAGATATTCTGGCAATGCCTAGAAGGTATTGATTACATTCATTCAAAGGGTGTCATGCACAGAGACATCAGACCAGGCAACTTGGCAGTAGTCTCCTGGAATCCTCCACAATGCCGAGTGATCAATTTTGGAAGTGCCCAAATGGGTATCAATTCCAACGATGTCAATGTTGGGACAACACCATACTGTGCACCAGAGATGTGGAGGCTTTCGAGAAGTGGTAAGACCTCGGGCCTAGGATACAACGAGAAGGTTGACATGTTCGCTGTCGGAGTGAGTGCATACCAGATCTTCTGTAAGCAACCGCTATGGTGGGGCCACGAAGCCGATGAATACGTCTTGGACGTAATGAAAGCGGATTTGAAGTCTCAGGGGGGCGCTCCACTCGACGTCCAGGACCTTATCAGAAGCCTGCTTGCGGATGATGCTGAGCTACGGCCTTGTGCGAAAGATGCGAGAAAGTCTCTTGATAATTGGCACGGGCCAGAAAATCAAGGGTAGAGCAGACTCCCAGCGCGAGGCCTCATTCTGACGTATATTGTCTAGTCTTGAATCACCAACATGCGCCATAAGCCAGAGGAGGTACATAGGTGATGATTGAACGGTCGCGAATAGACGAGAACCACGAGGTTGTATGAGCATCCATTCGTTTCTAGCGGTTGCAGGGGTAGTGCATGAATGATCGTTTTAGGAGCGGTGTATTTCATCGGGCTAGTCCATGTCTTTCATGTCTATCGTGCCATTTATTTGATCCGTCCGACGTATTTTATTCCCTCACATCTTGAACAAAGATAGAATCATCGTCAGATGCCTACCAGACATCAATACCATCTTCGTTGAATCTTGAGGGGAGTGTGTGTACGTAGTAATTCTGTGGGTAGGTCTAAGATTCTACAATAACCTGTCGGGTACGCACATCATTCTCGTGCAACCGAGTTCCTCCATCCATCCCTCATCGTCCTCCTCTCACCTTCTTCCTTTCACCCTCTTCATGTCATCTTGCCTTCAAAATATTGTCAGCATCGAGAGTACCATATGGCCGCCTAACACAATCTTTGAGAAGATCTGGGCGCCAAACTTCGTTGAATTGCTGTTGCTCCGGCTTCGCAGTGTTCAGGACGAGACTGAGCCATCAAGACGGGTTCTATGGAGGCAAACACACGGTGGAGACGCTCAAGACACAGTCCCTTGGTGGCACGCGTGGGCAACTCCGCCGGTAACCTCGGATCAGAGTCTAGATATTTGAACGTCCCTTGCCAGGCTACCGACTCCAGATTTCGAAGAAATTAAGAAAGACCTCGCACAGGACATGCATCGCGCCTCGGGTGATTTCAAAGGAGCTCAAAAGCGACCAAATCCTAGCAACGAAGAAGAAGATTCTCAAATCCCCTTGCCTTCTGCAAAACGAGACACACCAACTCCATCCTTCTGGTTACAAGAAACTATTACCACCTTGTTCCCCCCGAACGCTTTCGACCAACCATTCTCAGATTCATCGGTGGAGCTAGCTACACACAACCTACCCTTCCAATTCGACCAAGGCTACTCTGCATCCTGTAACTCCCAATTCTATGCTCAACATGATAACCTTGAACAAAATTCCCCTGGGAAGTGTTTTTATCTCCATCGCCCAACCTCGCAAGCTTCTAGCAAAACAAAGCGGAACAAAGAGAAAACACGAGGGTCCGCCGGGCGCAAACCTGAAGCAGTGGTCCTGGTGGTCCCTGCGGACAGACTCAAAGAGCAAGTGGCCCGTTCCCAAGCTTACCTCCCAAAAGGATGCCTCTGTGGCTGCGGCGGCGATGCTATGCACTGTCACAGACCTCCATCACTTTTTACCTCCTCCAAAGAAGTCAAGGCTCCAGACATTGCGTCCATGCTCGAAACGAGGCTTGATGATGCTGCGACAAATGATGAGCTTTCGAATCGAATTTGGTTTGGAGAGGAGTTTGACAGCCATACCTCAGATAGGGAATCTTTGGATTCGTCGATATGGACTGTTAATGGCGACGACCGAGGCAATATCCTCAAAACGTCTTCTCGCTCCCTTGACGCCGACACCTACGATATGAGAACCAGGAACGACGATCGAGTGCAAGCGTCTCGCAAGCGCCGGCGCTCGACGAGTCCACCAGACACTCCTATGCGCAGTCCGGACGAAACTGCGAACACATTCCTGCATGGCTTTACGTATGGGCCTAACCATGCGCCTCATGGTGTCCATCTTTATGCATCTGGTGAAAAGGCTATCAACGAATTTGCAAACTTCGAAAATACTCTAGTTTCCTCTCGCCATTCGTTCACACGGGCACCTACTTCCCCTCCCGAGGCCAACCCGTCAAAAACACCTGCCCCCTACATTCCTGATAGGTTTCTTCCGTTGAAGATTCCATGTTACTCCGAGATATTTTCCTCTCGTGCCGAGAGAGAGCCGCCAAGAGAAGAGGGCGCGGACTGTTGCGATAAACGCTCAAAGCTATGAGGCTGAAAAGAATCGTCGTCTTGGCATAGAACATGATCGATTCAGTGATGTAGCTGGTGGGAGCCCGAATTCTACAATAGACTCGGTTTCTGTCTGTAATCCATGTGAAAAGTTAGCCGAAAGGTTCGCAATTGATCGGCCATATGCAAATGACTCAAGCAGGTCTCTCTCTCGAGCACATACAACGTACCGTCCTCCAAAGACCAAATCTCTAATAAGTCCAACTCACTATGTCACTGAAGGGTTTTCTCCATTGGAGATCTCCGGCATTTCTAATCACAACCACTCCGCCACCAGGGAAGGGAACCTAAAGTAAAGGAGGACGGACAGCCTGCCGGAGCTCAAAGCCGTGAGACCTAAAAGGCATCATCTCTATGACACAACCCATAAACGAGATAAAACTTCATCTGCTGAGGCTCCACCTTCAACTTTCCAGGCCGACGATGTAGAGGAGGACGGAGGTGGAATCTGATATCCAGATCAAGACGAAGAAACCAACAGCAGAGGACTTCCAACAACCGACACAGTCTTAGTACCAAAGGACCGAGATAAAGAAATTGAGAAGGAGCCGTCGTCGTCGGTCACAGCTGTTCGCCCAACTGGCGCTAACCACCGCTACGTGGGAGATGATACGCTAACGACACGGCAGGTCAGGCTGGCTCTCCTTTCATAATCAGGCTCTGGAACAAGCCTGATAAGTAACGTTCGATAGGTTATCTCACTGTGTCATTTCCGTTGCCCTTGGTCTCATAACACAGTACTTGAAAGCTGGATGTCTACAGCAGACGATTCATGTGGTTAGTCTGGGTCACCAGTTTTGGTTCATCTGCACATACTACTTCGTCGATTTGATCTTTGAGATTTCAATCTCAACTCGCTATTGTAGATAAGACGCTTAAGATTCCATGGGTGTCGAGGATTGTATTCGTAGTGATCTTATATTGATCAGTGCACGAGGACAGCAAATTGATATATCGACACTGAATGGCGAAAGCAAACATGTAACACCCGAGATCGATTCTCGTCCTTTCTCACCCACAAAATTTCGTTGCATTACCAGTGACCTCACCCATGCGCACACTATGGTCTGTCTCTGTGGCTATGACGCCAATAGCGACCACTGCCATCTTCTGAGCATGCCACCGTCTCCGAATGATTTCTATGAGAACTTCTGGGCACCAACGTTCACGGAATTGCTTGAAGGCGGTCTTCGCACAGTTCCGGCAAGACATGAACCATCGAAACGAATTCAATGGAGGAGGGTCTTTGGAGGCGATGCACAGGACGAACCCCTCCTCGATATGTGAATCAATATCCCACAGGGGTCTTGTCTCCTTTCTCGGAGAATTCAAGATGACAGATCGCGATTACCAGCGCCGTCGACTCTCAATTCCGAAGAAGTCAACCCACTCAGCGAACAGAGATACGATTGATCGCCATTAGCTAAGGAGCTTTCTACGCCCACTGACCAGCGTAGTCCTGGTTTCTACAGCCCTCTATGAGACTCTGGTCGTGTGGAGCAGACCGAAGAAGATCTACCACGAATGGGCGTCCGCATAGCCCAGGCTTCAAGACTACGATCTCTCAGATATGTACTTCGAAGGCAAGCTGGAAGACACATCTACCCTTTTCAATCTACAAAGTCCTCCTCCAAGGTCACAAAACGAAAGTTCTGGCTGGGAGTTTCCGCCGGAGCTACTTGGCTCCCCTCCACCATCCATTTCACCGCTGTCTATTCATGAATCGGCCAGAGGGAGAATACAGCCTTCAAACAGCCAGAAAATTGATCACCCGCAGCTACCCTCTCAGGAACACTACGATGTGCCCATCCGGCCGGAGCAACTTCTGGGGTTACAAACTTCACCTGCAGGGAACAACAAGCCAAGTACAATCGGAAAACATTCCTTAGATCCCCTTCACCGATCAAACAGGCTGTCAGTAGACAGGAGCCGCCAGAGGATGAATTGCAAGCATCACTCGTGCGCATGATGGAATGTCAGCTCAACTCTGGCAACGCTGTCTCTCTTGTTCCAGACGTCTTCCATCAACCAATCTCAGACTTGACAATTAGATCAGCTGCACATACTCTCGGCTTCCAGTCTGATCAAGGCTACTCTTCATCCTGTACTTACTCCTTCTATTATCAACATGATCACTCACTCGAACAAAACATCTGATCATTCGTACAAAACGTCTCTATGGGGCATTCTTTCCTCCCTTACCCAAACTCATGCGATTTTCGCAGTTCACTACGTATGAAAGAAGAGAATCGAAAGTCCGCCAGGGGCAAAGCTGAAGCAGTAGATGATGTCATGGACAGACCAGCTTGCATTTGCGGTTGTGATGTAGATGATCATCTGCACACGATGCTTCAACTCCTCATTACCTACAGCTCGCCGCGAGTACCAATATAGTAATGCCTAAATGAAGGCGGCAGGTTCAGGAATGTCTCCTTTGTGTTCCCTAGGACCACTTTTGTCGCCTCAGGGCATAACGCTACGGGGCCAATCGCTGCTGCTTATTGGCGGAGTCCGCATGGCCAGCTCATGTCTCTCCACATCGTGATGGAAATGAAGGGTGACAAATTTTCTCTCCATGCCGCGGTCTTCGTTTTGCTGTCAGCATTATTCCACTCAAGTTGGCTCATATACGCGCAGAAGGAAGCCGTGTCTCACATCCTCTTGTCCCCGGACGCCATTTTGGATGATATAACCTCACCTACACGCAAGGCAGGCATGTCATGGAGCGGACATGCCAAAGCGGTAGTCCTTCTAAGTGGGGATCCCACACGAAAGAGCGCAACGCTCTGAACAGCCGCGTCCTCTATAGCGCACAGCCTCCAGAGCATGGCGCACATCGCACGTACGTTGTCTCGAGCAGAGGACACCAAACGAAGAAAAACATCTACAAGTCAGGGATATCGCTCCATTTAGTTCCCTATTGGGATACAACATACTGGCTTCTCAAGGTCTATCGCTATTAAGAACGAGCATCAAAAGTACGGGAAAGTGCGTTTGCTCCTATCCTGCTGCAGCTAGCACTTTCAGTGATTTTGAAGATCCTGAGAATGAGATCTTGTGGGAGGAGTTGGAAATTAATGCTATCTGTCAGTCGAGCAACGCAAAAGCCCCTCCCTTCGTCCCAAGGTGCAATTTGCATGAAACAAAATCAAACCCTGTAAACTCCATCGAGGATAAATGAATGTCTTGGCCACGGATCCATCAGCTCGTCTGCATCTTGTCTAGCAGCCTATCCTGTCGTCACCATACCCTCCTCGTCATCCTCCACGCTTCCGGTTCGAGTCCTACTTGCTTCCGCCTTGACCCTGTGACTCCCGCTAGATTCTCCCTCCAACACTGTGGCAATCGAATCGAACTCACCGATCCGGCGTTTTTTTGCAGCCGGTGTCCCCATGGCAGCTTGCCGAGCGGTTAACTCATCCTCTTGCTGTTTAGCCAACCTAGATGCCCAATCAGTTGAGGAACTGTCACAAGACGTAGTGATGATACTGACTTCGTTTCTTCAGCATAAGCTTCCACACCACGTTTATAAAGGGATGGGATCCATTTCACAAAGTTATCCTTGCTATGCTCAGCGACAACCTTCACAGCTTTCGTGAGATCATCCTCTTCGTCGAGCAAGCACATGATCACGTCATTGAGGTCTAGATGCTGATATTCGTTCTTGTCGAGCTTGAGGCTGGCGTGGCCGATCATCTGTTTGATCTCGAGGTAAGACCAGCACGTGTGCTCGGATTTCCATCTCCAATGGAGACATGTGTATAGTTCGCAGAGGTCCGATTGCTGGAGAGTGACGGCACTGTTGACCTGGTAGCATGGCCCTGAGACTATATCCCCTTCTTGTTCTTCCTCTTCTTCCTCATGTTCTTCTTCTTCTTCCTCTTCTTCCTCTCTCATCACTTGCTCGACCCCTTCCATTTCTGCCATTGATGGAGTCTAGTTAAGGGGATGTGAAGCTGGGTCGTTAGCCCTGAGGACTTGCAGATATTCGAGATCTATTGTGCTTGTTCTTTGTCGAGAGGGTTCTATGACGAAAGAAAGTAGTAGATGAAAGGAAACTCTTAGCTTTATAAGAGCTCAGCTTTATGAAAAACGAAACAAAGACTGCCTGATCAGACCGCTTGCCATCCCCTTGACTTGTACCGCTTTGCCAGATTGTCGGAGACCTCAGATGAGGTCGATTTGAGAGGCAGCACTCAGCCAATACCATACCGTTGGGTATGACCTTGTGGGCGACGTGACGTTTCGTGGATGACCTCCATGCCGTTTCCCTCGAAACAGTCTGCCAGGGTCCTTCGAGGAAACGCTGAAACGCCGGAACACACCCATCAGCTCAAACCTTTGGGCAGTCGGTCGTAGAGCTATTCGACAGAAAGATGCTCGCACCCGAACGTTCGCCCCGAGGTCTGCCTGTCATCTCATGCTGCACGTGAGTCACTTTACCACTCTTATTGCCTCGTATTTCAAGCTACCATCAATGCTAAACTTGCCCTGAAACGTATTAGAATAGATCAACATGTCCGCCTCAGATCGGAGTCTTGCCAACCAATTATCCTCACGGAACCATTCCATCGGGTTTTGTAATTTTCAGACCTTCTCCATGTCACCCACACGATCCAGTCGCCATGTCATGCGGCTTTTGATCTGAAAGGATAAGTCCGCCCGTATGTCAACTTCTCTGAGACGCTCACCGTCCATAAAGTTTCCGCACGATTGCCCTACTGAAGCGGATGCTGAGTGATAACAAGGCTGTCGGTTGGCCCAAAGCTCGCCCTCTAGGCTGCTGACCCAGACATATGCAGCTTTGCGCTGAGGCAGGACAGTTTCATCAATTCGGATGTCTGCCCAAGCATTTTTCTTCTACATGATAATGCACATCCGACAGCCTCCACTCTTACTGCCCCAGGCTTGATGGAATCCTACATGGCCAAACTGCCCTGAAACGGGTCGGGTCAAAACAACGGACTACAAATTCCTAAACCAACAGCTACATTCCCGCCAGAGACAGGTGGAGCAGAGACTGGTAGAAGTGGATGATGGCTAAGAAGAGTCTTCCCACTAAGGGGCGGTCGGGGTCTGTCAAGAGTTCTGAGGAATGGGAAGAAGGCGGTGGGAGGGAGCATTCGATAACGTCTTTCTCTTATTAGTTATCACAGGGGCCATTTAGAAGGAAAGAATGGGCAGTCTGGTGGAAGTAGCAAAGGTCTTCTTGCGTACTTGTAATCACTCTTTTGACGGCACACTGGGGGTTTCAGAAATGGGGATGGACCTGGAAATAGCAAGGTCGCGTGACGCTCCTTAGCGCGTCCGATCACATAGTCGCTCTTTCCTCCGTAGCACTTTCAGACTACATGCAATCCAAGCAAGTCTCATCTCATATTCGGACAGCCCCAACCCAAGTTCCCAAACTCCCAAATACTCTTAAGCCTTTACTGCCAGGTCAAGACATTCAGGCCTCAAATGAGATTCGCGGCTTCCACCCGAAGCAAAGATGTTTTGACCCGCATGACCTTCTCTGAATGGTCAAACACTTCTTTCCCTAGACGCCTACTCAGATTCTTTGACCCGAGCCTGAAACATACCCGCCAGCTATCAAGTCGCCGCCAGTTAGCGCCAAATAGCTACCTCGTGTCGCGGTAGTCTTCGATTCAGCGATCGCTTCATGCATGCCGAGCAGTCGAGGACACAACTCGTAGGGCCATGGGTCGGTGTTCATGATAAGTCCCCATCAACGCTTCTTCGGCTCCCGTTACCGCCCGTTCGAAGTCACACTGTCGGGGCGGGCAACTCTGCATGGCTGGAATGTAACTATTCCACCCAACATGGCTTCTCTGAGCTACCTCCTATTTCACAACAAATCCGATCATCCCGCCTTTACAATAGTCAGGAAGGGCGATGAATTCTTCATCATTTGGCCCAAAGCTTGTAATCTACGCCTGCTGCCTATGTCCGGCCTTTATTCCCATCTGGCTTGATTCGCTGATGTCCCCAAGATGCGCTGCCTCCTTTGAATATCTATCCTCTATTGAACGTCGCTCATCCTCGAATCCTAAACTTAGGTCCAAGATCATAAGCAGAATCACAAGCTCTAAGGTTCACACCCGGCACTACCTTACATGATATCACCCTCACACACTACCTGACAATTCCACAACATAAGTCAAGGTAGATAATATCATTCCCGTCCAACACCATTCCGCATCCCTTCTTTCCTTCGCGCTGACGCGCTCGTTGTGAAATCATGACATCGAGCTTCGCAAGCAGCTCCCATGGCACCCGGTACGGAGGCAGGGTGACAACGAGGATGTTCGAGAAGGCAGTCCGTGGTCCATCCCTCACGATCTCGCTCGACCAGCCCTACGACGATTGCATCGACGTCACAACGTCCCGCGCCGAGGTGGCACGCGACGCCATCGAGAGGGGCATCTAATCCTCCAGCAGGGTCTATGTGACCTTTAACTCGGACGAAGCCGGGAAATTCGAAGTGGCGACGGTGGAGCTCGACACCTCGGATCGCACGCGGCACCCGGGCGTGGTGAAGACGAGGATGTTCGAGACTCCGGAGCGCCCTGCATCCTTCACGATCAAGCTCGACAAGCCTTACCATGATTACGCCAACGTCGTAGCGAGGGCCGCCGTGACCAAGGCGGCGTTGCAAAGAGGCTTCGTGTTGAATTTGCGTGTCTATGTTATTTTCAACACTAGTAAGGACCGGTTTATGAAAGTGGATGCTGTGGAGCGGAGATACGAGTGAGGCTCTAATGCCTTTGTGACGAGTGAGGAATGCTGGAAGATTCTGCAATGAAGAATCGAACAGTTCGATCAAGTTGTGCTGGTAGTACTTGCAGGAGTGATGGACGCTACGGTCGGAAGAGTCGAACTTTTGTACAACAAGTCGGGCATTCGGACGACGATCTTTAGCAAGTAAAACCCAAGAAGTCGGACCCACCTCGGGCAAGTAGACCAGTAACCATCACTCGCACCTCAGACTCAACTTTTCTCAGACCCACTTCTTCCAACCTACCCTCCTTCCAAAACACACCCCGTACAACCCTATTTGAGTCTCTGGCAAGGCCCATGCTTCTTACCTGATCACTCAGAGGCCACCTCCGAAACACCACCCAACTCCAGCCCCCCCAGCTCCCATTCCAAACCGTTTCATCAGCGCAGCACCCAACTCAACTCAGCACAATCCCTGCCAATTCTCCAAAACGCCTCCGCCTCCAACCACACCCACCTCCACATAACCGCAGCTCTGTCAACGACCCACAGGCCCAAGTGACGCACCGACAGCTACGCCACGACTCCTACCTACCTGCCCAGCTCGAAATAGGGCGGTGATGACTCCGCAAGGACTAGGTAACAAAGTGCCCGGCCGGCATTGATCCCGCATGTGCCGCCCGATTGCAAACGCTCCTCACGAAACAAGGCAGACTCGATACAACATGATTGGCTGTCGCTGTTGCACGGGAAGATTTCTGAGACGACGCTTTTTCCTTTCCTTCTTTCTTCGAAAAAAAATTCGAGAACAGCGGAGTATGAGAGGTGCCCTGCTTTCAAGCGAGCGTGTGAATTCTGTTCATCTCAAAGCTTTTTTAGCATGTAAAGAAAGAGCCAGCCCGCTTCTTCATCCTCGACTGAGACCCATAATCGAGAACCGCGATACCAAAATCATACCGCACTCCTGTTCAAAGCACAGTCGAAGCATCCTCCGCACACCATCTAGATCGCACATCTCCCTTTCCAAACCGCGCCGTCCAAGTCTAACTTATCTATCCATATTCTCTCCTCCCCCTCACCATCACCATCACCACACCTTCACCCAAAACCCAACCCAAAACCCAACCCACCACCCACAGTCACCCCCACCACCATGCCCCGCACCCCCTGGACCAGTGGCGTGATCACGAAGATCGCCCCAGACCGGAGCTCCGTCGTCATCCGAGCCTGCGCCGGCGGCCGGCGCGCCCGCTTCGGCGACGCCGGAACGATCGAGAGGCTGGGGTTGGACACGGGAGCGAGGAAACGGGTCAGGTTCACACGCAAGCGCGGTGGACGAGCGACGACGACGAGGAGGAGGGAGGTTGGGGAGGTGGAGGGGGATTTTGAGCGCGGGGTGAGGAAGAGGGGGAGGTTGATGGGTGGGGAAGGTGGTGGTGGGTAGGGTCGTTCGTTTGTCAAATGTGGGGGGGGACAGTAATGGGCCATTTGGGCGTAGTGCTCAGGGTGTCATGGGTCTGCGGTCTCGTTATTAGCGCTGCGTGCATCGGTGTGGGAGATCTGGAACTTGGGGCCGGGGTGAAGTGAACAGACAGACAGACAGACAGACAGCACCCACCCACTCACCCCTGCAACCCCTGCATAAACCCCCACTCGATTTAGCTACAGCTCACCTCACTTTGGACCCCCCCTTCCCCAAGCCCCGGTAGCCCTCCCTCACACCCCTTAACTAATCAAATCACACACACAAACACATACATATCTCACTCTCCCCAAACACCCACGCCAACCGCCGCCACAGCCCAGTCCAATCCACCCCACTCCGCTCCAGCCAACCCGACCCATCATGCCCGCAACCCCGACCGACGAGCTCCGCTTCCTCCGCACCCTCACCCCGCCCCCTCCTACCTCCTCCACTTCCAACCCGGACTCGGACGACTACGATCCCTACCGGTCGCCCTCGCCGGAGAACACGACGGGCGTGCAGTTCGACCCCCGGGATCGCATGTGGCGGTGTACGCGCTGCGGGTGGGAGGTGGAGACGATTGATGGGGTGCAGGGGGTTTGTAGGGGGCGGCATGAGGTTGGTTTTTTTTCCCTGTCACTTTTTTTCTTTTATCTTTTTCTTTTCATTGTTTTGGGGGGAGAGGGAGATGGGATGAATCCAGAGCGAATTGGGTTTGCTGATGTGATGTATGTGTCGACAGTCCGATTTGACGCGGGTCGATGGTTGGTTCTCGACTTGTGAGTGGGATGTGGGCATGTGGAGTGATCAGGGGGGCGAGGATGGAAGCTTTGATGGGAATGAGGGGAGGAGTGAGGATGAGTTTATTTTCTTGGGGGAGGTGGGGGAGATGGTGGTGGGGGGCAGTGGTGGAGAGGATGACGAAGAGCGGGAGGATGTTGTTCATGATGATGATGACGATGATGGTGATGATATGGGTTGGATTGTTGAGAATGAGGATGTAGAGGATGAGGTGTGGGAGGGGGATGATGATACTCGGATGGAGGACGAAGGGCCTCGTGAGCCTGGGCTTGGTGCTCTGTATCAGCGAGATGCGATGGAGGGTGGGGAGTAAGGAAGGGTATCGGGTATGGAGGAGAGAATTTCGTAGATGCGCTCTCAATCTGCGAGAGCTTGGGGAAGTATCAGCAGTATGGTTGATCAAACATCTATTTCCCTCCCCCTCCCCGTGCCCTCCTAGACTTATCTTGCTAATTGGTCTGCCGGCCTATCCAATTCTCCACTACCGGGTTCTTGCGACACGCATACCCTTTATACTGTAATTCCGTTATACTGGAGACAATTGTTTTGCGACCCGATTGCGGTTTCTCCGCGCTCTCCTGTCGTTTTTCGCTGAGCTTGGGACTTGTAATGAAGCTGCGAAAATGTTTCATACGTAGATAGTATGGCATGTGTACATGGGCTCTACTGTACCCTCGCGGACTTTGTGAATCTGACATTGCGGTTCGCCTTCCCCGAAGACTGGCTATCCAAATTCCTGCGTAGAATCAGCTTGAAGCTATGGTGATATGGATTGATGGGCCAATTCCACTCAGCAGATGGCATCGACCACAATTTCCCAATCGTTATGCCGAAAAGCTCGTGGGTGACATGCCTCGCAGGGCGACAGGTTTAATGTCATCCAGCTGTCTGTACCTCGTGTCCCCGATCGATCTGCAGCATGTGTGTTTACTTTTCGTGGGAGCTGATGACTAGCATCTGCTGCGTACCTAGTAGCAGGTGAAACACGATCGCCATAGATTAGTCCCCTTTCGCTTTTGTCGTATCTCATACCACAATTATGATATTTGCTCGGTATCGCGTTCCCACGAGATGGACATCTTCTCGGAAAATCCATTGCACGCTTTTCTTTATGACTTGGCTGGCCGTTAGCGGCACGGCTTGAACATGGTGGTGGTAGGTGTGCCGTTTGTCTAGGACGAAAACAGACGGATTCAGTCTAGAAAAGACAATTACTATGGACATGGCGAAGACCAAAGAACGGGAATCACTGCTGCCGAAAGAAGAACTGCGTTGTGATCGCGTGGGAAACTCGTGGGCATAAAGCGGTCTGCCGGATGGGTGAAGGATGTTACAATCTGGACAACGCAATCCTTCAACATTATGATGTATTTACCAAGCGGCCTATAGGTGGGTGGCAGTCGTAGCCATTGGAGGGGCAGACGCAGCGACTTGGGTACGTGCGGGTGCTTTAATAAAGATGGATACATTTCGTGTTACCAAAGACTTCATTTTGCCAAGAGGCGATATCTGCTATACTGAATCTGGTTAGCTCGATGTGGCTTTTGTCTGAAGTTTAATCCGCCAACTTTCTGGAACTAGAAAAAGACGCTGGACCGCGCTCAATGCACCATTGCGCAACTCCGCCATGACCCGAGTGGAACAAACCTCGCTTTTCGCACCCGGCGCCGGCGGCGTTTCCCTCCAAGCCAACATGTCCGCCGCGAAACTGCTGGGAAAGAGGACCCATCAGATGCCAGGAAGATTGAACGTCTCCGAGCTGTTCTTTGAGGTTCCCAGAGACTACGCGAAACCCCAGAGCGGCAGTTTGCGCCTGTTCGCGAGGAGTGTCGAGAGGTTTGAGAAGCCGGTGGATGCGAGTAAGAAAGAGGTCAAGCAGCCTCCATGGTGTACGGATCACTCCCCTCGGAACGGCCTAATGCGTCGTTGACACGAGACTTCTTTTAGTCCTCTATCTCCAAGGCGGTCCTGGGATGTCATGTAAAAGCCCGCAGAGTTACGCTGTAAGCCGATTTCAACTCCTTAGCGTGTGTTGTGAGTTGAAATATTACCGAGAAACAAAATCTGTTGACTCCAAAACATGCTAGTGGACAGACTATGTCCTTGACAAGGGATACCAGATTCTCTTCCTCGATCAGCGTGGTACAGGGTTAAGCAGTACCATTACGGCGAGGACACTAGCCAGTGAAGGCGGACCCGCACAGCAAGCCGATTTACTGAAGAATTTCCGCGCAGACAGCATCGTCAAGGACTGTGAGGCGATTCGCAAGACCTTGACATCAGACTTTCCGGAAGAGAAGAAGAAGTGGTCGATCATGGGCGTGAGTTTCGGTGGATTCTGCGCGGTGAATTACCTCTCCAGGTTCCCGGAGGGATTGCAAGAAGTCTTCATCGTTGGTGGTCTGCCTCCCCTCGTCCGAGACCCGTACCCGGTGTACAACAGGCTGTTCCGCAAGGTCAAGCAGCGGAACGAAATCTACTACCAAAAGTATCCCGAAGACATCCACCGGGTCAAGGATATCGTCCGCCACATCCAAAAAGAAGAAGACATCAAACTTCCCAGCGGCGGGACGCTGTCCGTGCTGCGCTTACGCCAGCTCGGCATGCACTTCGGTTTCCACGGCTCCATGGACAGCGTGCACGACATGATCACACGCTTCACCAGCGACCTGAACCAATCCGGCTTCTTCACCCGGCCCACCCTCGCCGCCTTCGGCGCCCTGATCCCCTTCGACACGGCCCCGCTGTACGCCCTGCTGCACGAGCCCATCTACGCCCAGGGGACCGCCCCCGCCTGGGCCGCCGACCGCTGCCTGGCGCACCACCCCGACTTCGCCCGCCTCCCCCTCGACGGGCCCGACCCCGTCCTCTTCACCGGCGAGGCGGTCTCGCGCGCCATGTTCGCCGACTTCGACGAGCTGCGCGGCCTCGCCGACGTCGCGGACCGGCTCGCGCGCTTCCCGGACTGGCCGCCGCTGTACGACGGGGCGCGGCTGGCGGCGAACGAGGTGCCCGTGTACGCGGCCACGTTCGTCGAGGACATGTATGTCGATTTCGACTTCGCGCGCGAGACGGCGTCGCGGATCGGCCGCTGCAAGACGTTTGTGACGAACGTGCTGTATCATGACGCGTTGGTCAACAGGACGGATGAGTTGCTGAAGCAGCTGTTCGCGTTGAGGGACGATACGATTGATTGAAGGCGGATTGCTGTGGGATCGACTTGGGATCGACTTGGGCGCGGCGCCCGCCTTGGAGTTTCGGAGGCTTCTGCCGAAAATAACACAGTGTCGATGATGTACACCATGCTCATTACGCATGTGTCAACAGCTATCTAAATCCCGGTTTCTAAATCTAGCGGTCTTACGCATCAAGGCTTGAAAGAGAGAATACACCATGTTCATTACGCATGTGTCAACAGCTATCTAAATCCCGGTTTCTAAATCTAGCGGTCTTACGCATCAAGGCTTGAAAGAGAGAATAGCCCCGGAGATAGACAAGTACTAGGAACTGTTCAGGCATATATCCATGACTTCAAATCTCAAGGTTTGGATAATGACCCGTCTCCGTCTGTTCGTCGTGATGCATCAGATATTCTCAACCCCGCCTCATCGGTGCAATCGTCATGACGCTGCGATGAAGGCTGCACTTAGATACATAACGAACGAATGCCTTCTCCCACACCGCCGTCTCCATATTCTCTTCCCCCTCAAACCGCACAGACGCAACGATCCATCCCCGCCTCCCTCGCACCGATAATGCTTCGAAGCCCACACCCCCTCCCCCTCACGCTTCAAGCCCCTTCAAACTCATCAACCATCACCAACGACTGCCCAAAGTTGTCAAACCCCGTCCCTCTGTTATCGCGGGCTCCAGAATCAGCGGATGTAGACCCCAGAGTTGTACGATGGCATAGGGCAGGGGGAAGAGTGATCTCAGGAATTAAAACATATGATTGAAACCCTCACGGGTCGCCGCACCGAAGGTGTAGCGTCAGGGTATTGACTGAATTTCTCATCATAGACAAAAGCGGCAGTGGCGGGAGAACGAGGACGGGGCGGACGTACCAAAGTAAGAGATACAAAAGCGGTTCGGTAAGGTAGTAACATACTGGACAACGCATCGATATTGCGGGATGTGATGTGTGTGACGGGTATCTGCGTCGTCGAGCTTCGCTATATGTTCAATGAGCGTTGGATGAGTGTCCACGTACCAAAGGGTCACTGTTGTGCTCATTTGGAGGGCTTGATGGCTGTAGTGTCCGATGCGGAATGACTCTTGAGTAACAACCGGTTGCAGGCCTTGGCCATCGAGGTCGACAAGGTAGCAGGGGGTACGATGGCTAGGGAAGCCTTTGCGCCAAGCAGTTTGTGGCACTATCACTTCCACCCACCACATAAGATGCAACTCATGCATGGAATGAACTCACTTGCTAAGAACAATGGTCGGATTTTGGGTATCTGCACGCTATCAATGTGTCACACAACGCCTCGCTATCCCTAAGATCCGTCAGTCATGATGAAACAGATTGCCAAAAGCTGTACAAGCAACCAAAAGACGCAACCAGGTCACATCGTATCTCCTCCATGTTTATCGCGCGGTAGACGCAACAGTAGATCATCCGAAGAAGTCTTCCCCAGTGACCAAGGTCTCCCAGGGCCGTCCAGTCTCCCAAACCTTCTCCATGAGGGCCCGGGCCTTCCTCACATGGCTCATACCCAGTCCTTCCATCCTCTTCAGTCTCTCCATGATCCTCTCACGCTGCTCCGGTTCCTGCGCGTCGCAACCCGCAGTAAACATTGGGAACAGCAGACAACCTTCCGCAGTGCCACCTTTGCGCACTTTGTACAGCGCGCTGACGATCTCGTGGACTGCAAATTGTACTTCCGGGTCCATGGATGATTTACCCAGCACCCTGCGGTTCACGTGGATCAGGCCGGCGTGATGGAAGGCTTCGTTGGTGGTGACAAGCTCGAGATTGTAAGAGCTGTCCTCGATCTGCGTACTTGCTCGTCGATGTGGACAACCTTGGTATCTGTGCATCCTGGCTTCCATTAGATCAGCTTTCAACCTCTCTGCCTCTTTCCTAGTCTCCACTGACGGCTGCCAGTCCTCTCTGACATAGCCAGCCGGATCTATGCGCTCGTTTTCACAATTTCGAGCCAGTTCAGCGATCTTAGCAAGGATGGACACACAGCGACTGGTAAAGCCGAGTAGGCAATCAATTTGGTAGTCTTGGTCTTTATCCGAGCTATCGGTCGCCCAGTAGTCGCCGCTGAAGAGAGGTCGATCGTTCCTTCCACCACTCAGGCTACCCATCACGTCCAGGTAGGCGAACCATCGAGTGAGAAAATACGAGGCTTTGTCCCTACGGTGCACGGAATTGGCACCGCCTCGAGCTAAGATCATTCGTCGGGCAATGTGGAGATGCTGCTGCCAAGGGACTTTCACCTCAAAAGTGCTTGGGTTCACGATCTCGAGTGATGCTAGCAATATAGCTGTCGCAAGATTGCTGTTGGATATGTGACCGCTAGGGTCGCTGAGTGTACGTCGAAGAGCAGGGAAGACGTCTTGAACCCAAAGTGCGATTCTGGTTATTGGTTCAGGATGATTGAGTAAGCGCGATCGATGACTGGCGGAGTATGTTAGTATTAGATTCAGGAGATTCGTGTCGTGTATAGCCACTGCGTGCGCTGTCAGCTAGCGAGCTCAAGCAGAGGTGTCACTGTACGCACTCTGGGGCAGGATGCTCTTGAATGGATTCTCGGAGCAATCGTGTGGAACGAGCATCCTCGCAGTGTGGTTGACGAAATGGTGAAAGTAGAGTAGGTTCATTGGATTGTCTTGGAGCGTTGGCGGTAATGGTTCCAAGGACCTGGAAATGCTGACCGTGACTGGGCTGGCGTAATAGCCCGAACCTTCATTGAACCCTTCTGATGCGTTTAGACCAAACCCAAACTCTGAATACAAATCTTCATTGCCGAGATCAGCTTCGTTCCTGTCAAGATCGGCTATGCCCATGGTCGGCGTCACACCACTCAGTGCTATCATGTCATTGTTGTGAGGCAGATCGAGATCGGGGAAACCACGATCAACGCCGTACGTTGTCTTCTGGTAGTGGAAAGGGCCAATGTTCAATTTCCCGGGGAAGGCACTATCACTGCTGCTCGCTGAGTCGGCTGGCGAGTCTTCCGACAGTAGGGACTTTACAGACAAGCGGCGGAAGTCATTAGAGTCTTGTAGCTGCTGTGGCGAGGGTCCCGTCATTGATTGATGGATGTCTTCAGAACCCGCAGACGAAGCTGCTGGCGTAAGAGGCACACGCACACTTCCATTGGATGGACTCGACGACTGATATCGCATGGACTGCGGAGATATCATCGGACCCAACTTCATTTGTCTCGCCGCGGCGAAGTTGCTGGGTGGGAAGGCCGGATTTTTTGGATAACCGTCTGATGAATCTATAGAAGGGCTGAGACGTAGTTTCTTCGCTGTATGATCTGCAAAGGCTGCACCTGGAGTCTCATACGGATTGATGTGGTTCGGAAAGGAAAACTGTGGGCTCTGGAAGGGGGGAGGCATCCCACCATTGGACAAGGAATGATGATGGCCGCCGTAGGGTAGATTTGAAGGATTCGGGAGAGGAGGGCTCTCCATGCTGGAGTCGGCTGGAGATGGATATGTGCCGGTGCCTTGATCGCGGATGCGGCTCAATTGTGCCGTTGAGATGTGGTCCCGGTAGGGAGACGACTGAGCAGGATGCGAGCTCGTGTAGTTTGGACTGGCATATTGTGTGGGCATGAAGCCGGTTGCTGGGTTCGGACTGAGTTCCCGTATGGTCGAGACGGTGGAAGTGGTTGAGACAGTATCTTGGGAGCTGGACGAACGATGAAGCTTGGCTGGCGGAGAGGTTGCGTTGGAGGAGGCCTGAGTTTCATTGCTTCCTTTCCTCTTTGACCGCCCTTCCCAGTTCAGACGTATGCTGTAGTCACACGTCTCGCCCTGGCGTTCACAGTTGTCACATTTTGGTCGTTCTTCTCCACACTTGATCTTGCGGTTCTTACAGGGCCTGGCGTGTTCAGCAGTGATCGGTGTGATGTAGATTCTTCCCAACTCACCAGCAGCCATTGCGACTGCGCTTCTTGGGTTCCGCGCTTCCTGGCTTCTTAGGTCGAGGCATGGCGATGTACAGCTGGAGATGGAAACTGATTTGAGGCTCTTGGTAATTGCAGCTCTAGGGTTTAAGCTAGGCTTGGTGAAAGATCCGGGGTGGATTGATCACGGCGGAAGAGTCATCTTTTTGGTGGGGTAAGGCTGATGGGATGAAGAAGCTTGATGTGGGGGGGGAAAGGTATATTCGAAGGGTTTTTCTGCTCTTGTTTTCTTTTTTTCTTTTTTTCTTACTCCAGGCACACGCGGTAGAGAGGGATATGGACAGACGGAAGGGTTGATGCAGCGGCAGGAGTTCATGGTAAACAGGTTCGGAGGTGAGACGAGCGCGCACCCGCAGCCAGGAGCACTAGTCTTTCGTCCTTCCAAACGATAAGGGCGCTCAGGGCGGTGGGCCTGAGTTGGCTTGCATTAGTTGAGGGTCTAGAATACATCGAAGGTCTTGTCGAAAGAGAGAAGTTGCAAGAGGAGCAATTCGCAAGGTCAGGCTAAACATTACAAATATTCAATGATAAGTTGATCACTTGCAGGAAGATGTATGCAGAAATATGTTGGAAAAGGTGGTTGCATGATGGAGTAATGCATTACATTCTATGCAATTATGCATCATCACTTCCCAGCAAACCATTTTCTAATATGTCCCCCCGGGAATTTGGGAAAGTCTTGGCGAGATTAGATTAGATCGCTAAGCATACATGTAAGTTGAGAAGAGCTATTCCCAATTGGTTCCGGCTAATGTATCTATTGCTTCCCGTCTGTGACTTGTCCTTGCCGTCCACCCGTCTCTTCCTCCGAATAGCTGCCGAGCTCATCCTCACCTTATTTACCTTACCTTACCATACCTTACTTTATTCTATTGTATTGAAAAACAATCCAGCACTGGTCTGCAGCTCTTCCTTGTCCCCCGCCGATAAGATCAAAATGAGCGAGAAGCATCCTCTCCAGCGCCTCTCCTCCCCCGCCCCCATTTCCCTCTCCGCCCTCATCCACGTACCTTACCTTTCCTTTCCTTTCCCTCCCTTCCCTTCTT